ACGTCATAAAAAACGCGAGCGAGTTCGACGTTTCATTTGTAAAACCGAGCCGAGCTTAAGAAAATTTGAGCGAGTTCGATCTTCAAGAAATGTCATCCGAGCGAGCTTCGACTGGAACACAATCAAAGCTCGCTCGAAATTTTTGATCTTCATTCCTAACACTAACCCTGACTGTCCCTAAGAGATCTGGTATTAAACTTCATCAGGGTCATTTGTTTTTATTTTCTTGGACTTGAAGAATACGAAGGGGTATGGATGTTCATGTTGATCTGTGGACTTGAGAGAAAAAAGAGTTCCAATGTCTCTTGCAGTTTCTTTTTTGAGTACACATTTTCGTAACCCTTTCACCAAATGCTTGTAAAAGTCCTAATAGTAGTATAATGGAATAGTTAGCTTCTGGGGTATGTTTTTTAAGACATGAAAAGGATAAATGACTTACTTTAAAGTAACAAAAAGGGAATCTAACATTCTTTCAAAACAATGGATGTCAGAGGAGCATCTTGGTATCATGATGGCACATAATGATGTACAGTAGCCGCTCGATTTAAGGGTGTTTTCTTGAAAAACAGCGTCCGTCCCCAGCATTAACACCACTAAACCGCTATTATACATAAGGGTGAGATTCCAATTTCCCGTACCCTTAAATCGAACGGTATATCACTGTATTTTTGTCTGTTTTTCTAACTTTTTGACCAAATGTGTTTAATGTCCGGACAAGACAAGTTTTGGCAGTAATCATATTTACCGGAATATTGGCCTCTGGTGACATCTGTTTACAATAGTCTTGCTTTTCGATTTAAAGGTATTTTCTATTTAAGGGTGAGATTTTGGAAATTTTGATCACTCTTAAATCAAACGGCTACTGTAGCACTGAAGCAGTTATCGACCTTAACAGTTTATACATGTAGCCATTTAAACCTAAAAAAAAAAAGGTTAGAACATACATTTTTATTAATTCCTTTCAGATGTATATTTACCAATTACATATAATGCTAGTACAGAATGCGACCCACCATATGTTCCTTGTAAATTATTGAGAATGCAAGCATTGATCCTCATATTCTTCGACTGCTGTTTTAATTTTAAATCACTCGTAACTTTGACTTTTTTCCATTCGTTCGAACAAAGATCGATGGCTTTTCTTTCGTCATATTGAAGTAGTAAATCGATTTTACGAGAGTACGTGGGTGAAGTACCCTCACCGGCAAGGACAGGCTTATTCGCTTCGATTGCAATACGTGAACTATGGCAACCAGTCTCGCCACTGTACAGAAGAAAGGTTATCAATATATGTATATCACTTTTCGCTTCATCTGTATTACTTACTCAGATAAGACGACTTCGGTGCCTTTGAAAAGTACGCTTAGGATGCTTGCAAAATTGTCTGTAAAATGTGAGCTCTTGCTTATCATCACTTTGACTCTAGAGCTCTGTATCTACAATACTGTTACGTTAAAAATATTAGTATTGTTAAATATATTATATTACTACAAAACGATCTTACACTATGACTGAATAGGGTGAAGCGGGAGGAAACTCTGGTAGAGGCTCGTAAGGATTCAAACACTTCCGAAATAATGTCCTTTGGGACTTCGATTGTATTTTAGTCATCGTTAGCTATTTGAAAAAGTGTACGATTCCATTCTTTTTCATACACTTCTACGATTGCAGGAATAAATTGCCATATACTCATTTCACCATGCCTTATAATATGCTTTGATCTTAATCCCTTGTGAAACCATTCCCAAAAATTGTAAACAGACTATCTTGCTGTCCGTGACTGAAATAGTTATATATGCCAGATAACTAAATCTGAACAATAGTATTGCAATCAGTAAAAATATAAATTGGATTGATTTTGATATATGTAACTTACTCCAGTAAACTTTCTTCAAGAGAAGGTCAGACTTTGGCGATCCATCAATTTTGTAGTTTTTCAAGTAGTTGAAGTCGTCATTACAAAGTTTACCAGAAAGCTGGATTTCCAAATTAAGTTAATAACACAAATAATATCAGTGCATTGACATTTATCTTACCTTTTTGTGGGTAATGGAATGGCTAATAATCTCATCATCATCTTCATACAATTCAGCACTAGCAGCTGCATTTTCGATAGATGTAATTGATGGTTCAGGATGGACATTATCTATATCAGTGGTATCGTGCATAGCAGAAATAAGATTCAATGCCGCATTTGTAGCCAGTGTGGCAGTGACGATTGCGTTTAAAGTTGCTAGTAAATGGCTGGTGCTCTGTTATTGAAGTCACTTATTTTGTTAGTTTTTAGTATACATACATATATATTATATGTACGCTGGAAATGTCTAGATCTCCGTATTTTTTTCCGAACGTATTTTTTTTATACCACTTACAGGAATTCTAACCAAGACCAGCAGGCCAGTATGATTACACCTATTTACAGTGCAATTCCTGCTATTCACAGTCCGTAAGTTCCAAAGACACAAGAACCCTGCCAAGGATGTCTCCTTCCTATAGCAAAGACTAACCGCAGCCGCAATATATCTTTTTCAATTTAGCGTCTTTCCAAAGAAACAAAGTCATTACTAACTAACCTTTTTACGTTATCGGTTACTTTCATACGATAGAAAAAGTATGTTAAGGGAAAAGAAAAGGGGAATAATAAAGTGTGTGAACCAGCTTTATTTGTAAGCTGATAAACAAGAGCTTATGTCAGAGTGATTTCATTTTAATTTCTATGCCGTCATACTTTTTGCTGTTTTGAGACTGTACTTAAAATCGCGCATGATAAGAGATAATCAAGGATTGTTGTACGATTTTTTTTCTCAAATAGCAAAAGGTTACAAGGCAAAGGTCTCTGTTTACACCATTGGTGGGAAACAGTTGTTCCTAAGTGAGGTAGTAGGTTAGACACAGCATTGCTGGAGTTGTAATCTGCTACTGGAAGCGCATGTCATGTTGGAGTTAACGGATGTCATAAGATGGTTGGCTTGATTCATTGAAAGTGAATGCTACATCTATAAAGCTGGTGAAACACGATAAACAATAAAGCAATTTAGTCGACTCGTATTGAATAATGCTGGGAAAAGATGAAGTACAAAGTCCATAAGACATCTTTAGAAAACAGCAAATCTAAAGCAGACCGTTCAGAGCAAGCAGCAAAGGTAGTGACAAGAAAAACCTAATATGTGGATCCGTTACTCTTAGAAGTTTTTTTTCAAGTGTTTAACTCTGGATTTTTAAAATAAAAACTTCACCATTCCCAAATATTGCCCAAAAATAACTAGTTTTAAAAACACTGAAATCCAGTACACAAGTTTGAAGCGTTTTTTCCGTGGAAAGACAACGGGGGAAGGAATTAATTGACGTTTCTTTATTATGTACACTTGAGTCTTCCTTTTCGTCTTCACTTTCAAGCACAATATCCAGATCGCCTACTCATCCATAACACTTTCTTCTGCAACATCCTTTTACACGGGTCAGCAATATAGAATAAGGAAAAACGAAAGAAAAAATTGTGTTAGATTCACAAACGTGTGTTGAATTTGAGGATGGCTTAAAGGGTCTACGACATGGTGTATCCGAGAGAGTTCGCTAGCATACTCTCTTGAAAAGAGACTTAGTGAACTGCTTCTACAGTATATTTATTAGTTTAATACGTCCGAGGGAAGGTTTTTTATTCTCTTAGTTTCAGTTTTTATATTCAGTATTTCGAATAGGACAAGAAACTGGGAATAGTGACACAATGGCGGCCAAAAATATGCTTCACATATCTCAAGAGATTTGGGATGTCAATGGGAGGCCTCCAGTTTTTTCAGGATTTCAGCAAAAATACTACAATACAAAGCGCCACACTTAACGTGGCTATCACTCACTTTGACGAGCAAGTTTAAAAATACTTACAGGTAAAGATTTTCGATCATTTTGGCATTTTTGAAAATTAATTTGTTTATGTCTGAATTTCCATTTTATTTTGCCGAAAAAAGGTAAGCTTATATCTAAAAATGAAGTCGGTTTCGTCTGAAAAGATAAATAGCATTGCCTGAATTTTTTAAGATGGCTGAAAGCATTAAATCTGTCCGAAAGTAATTTTCCCTTGTACGAATCTAAAGTGCTAAGCTATAGTCACAATTAACAATACTGGAATCCAATTAGCTATCCCTTTATTGTGAGTATTAAATGGTATGCTTATTCAACATCATCACAGGTCCTTGAGGTAGTACCTATTTTCATTGCAGCCCCTATGTGTACTATAAATATAACATTGATTAAAAGTAGCACACGTTATTTATCTTTGATTTACTTTATCCCAGTCATTTTTAAATGTTGCCTTTGGTCAGCACCTAGCGCTTACACTAAACATATTTGCTTGGCAGTTTAGTATACGCATGCCATTTTCCACAACACATGGCGAGAAAGCAGATTAAGTGAGTTTAATCTAAATTTTAAGAATTTGAAGGTACGAGAAAGTTTGCCGATTACGAATTATTCAATATAGGAAGCATAAATTAAGTTGGAGGTTTTAAAAGAAATGTGTGTTCACCATCCACTGTCATATGATTAATAGATAAATGATTCACGTTTTGTTGACTCTACAGCAGCTGTATGTCCTACGGTGTTCAATTTAGCTTTTATTGTAAGTTTCTAAATTAATTGCAGATGTATTTTTATAACACTAATTTTGGTAGCGATATTGCATTCATGACACAAATCGAGTTGGTATATGCTTAATTTTCAGTTCCAGTGGGGCGACTTATCCTGACTTGATCCCATTCATCATCAGTTTGTGCTTGCAGACGCTGGAAATATGTCAATGATTTATGCACACGTTATTGAAAAAAAAAAAATGACTTACAAAGTATTCTTCCTGCAAACTCAATTTACGTCTATTCTTATCCATGCCTAAAGCCTCTTCTTTGGCAACCTAATTTCAACCTGTTAAAAAAAAACTGTTGCAAATGATTTTCATAATTGTAGCAAACTTACTTTCGTGTGTCTTCTGTCTCGATGATCAAATTTCGTTTGGGTTAATTGAGCAAGGCCGAAAGAACCACCGACCATAATGACAAGAAAAGGTAAACCAAAAACAAGGAAAGGTCTCTTTTTCGCCTGTGCTGCTAGAGGACCTAAAGCACTTTTTTGGCCATAGGGTTTATTTGTGAATGTTCCCATAATGTTAGAGGGATGAATAACAGGAATTGACACCCCGGAATATTGTAAGAGGGCAAGCCACAACTGGTGAATGGCGGTACTTCAAGTACGGGGTCTCTGCCAGATTGAGCACAAAAAGTTAAAAATACATGTCAGAAGGAATTTACACGGCTTGGTCCTATCTGATTTGCCCTCAAAGGCTGCTAAACTTTTTAGTCAAGTCACACTGAGCTATTTTTTTTTTCGAAACAGCCTAAACATTAAAGGGCCTATAAAAATGGATCGTCGTCATTATTTCGACTGTAGATCTTTTTTCTTTCTTCCTTATCCTAAAAAAAAATGTCCTTACATTCAAGAGATTTTTTAAAAAAGTATACTCTTTTGACAATAGCATTTATCTGTTCATTATTTATACCGTATCTCCTGTACTCGATTCGTGCAAATCCTTTGTATCATGAAGCGATAAAACCATTTTCATATCCCCCCATGGTGAAGTACAGCTTTAAATGGCCTAATATTGCGTCTTTCAAAAACGATATTCCATCGAATGAAGATTCACTTAAATATCGGGAAGATAAGCTCAGAGAAATTGACCAGAAGTTTTGTGGACAAGACAGATGTAGATTTTTGTTGCCTATTGCCATAACCGAGCAAGGTACTGTGCATAAACTGAATTTTCATTGTAGTATTACTTCGCAGGAGTAATTTAATATGGAAAATAATAACCAAAGCGCTGACTTAACTTGTCCTTTGCTTACAGAATCCAAAGCCCAGCTTCACTTTCGTCAACTTGCGTTCTTGGCCGGGAAGATAGACAGGACAATTGTTTTACCCAATGTCTATAACAGTCATTTCGGCGCTTGTTTGCCACACTCTTTTGACTTTTACTTTGACGAAAGCTGGCTGAAAAAAAACGAGAATCGCTTCAATTATATCACTATGGGCGATTTTAAATCCTGGTTACTAGCAAGGCACTATGCCGGCGTGGTTCCGACTGGGCAAGAAATTTATTTGCAACGCTCACAACGATCTAGATTATTAAAAAATATCAAAAATTGTTTTCAAGATTCCTTTGATTTTTCTGGTCGGCCAAAAGTCAATTATCAATTAATAGATCATCAGAAAGCACCAAAAGATATGAATATGACAGATATTATGATGAGCTTGTTAGGTGATGAAGCGAGAAAACACGAATATCTTAGTACTACTGAACTTGAAACAGAGTCACCTCCCGTTGACGTAATTAATTTATTTTATGATAGAAGGTAATTACATAAAAAAAAAATAGTCATAATATTTTATTAACATCATAGCAGGTACCAATTTATGAATAATCGTAGGGTCGCCGAACCTATCTCTTACAGTAAAAGATGGGTTGATATAGCGGATAAAATATCTGAACAGTTGAAACCTTATATTGCTATCCATTGGCGTATGGAGAGGCTAGAGCCTCTGTCTAATTTATTACCTTGCGCGGTGAATTTAGTAGACGAAATCCGAAAATTAGACCCTGATGGATCCGAAAGCAAGCATCCCAACGTATTTTTGTTGACAGATTATCCTCATCTGTTGAATTCAACAGGTGCTGTGCCTGAATCGAACTCTTTTATGCCATCCCAATTAAAATCACAACACCACAATGCAATCACTTATCTATATGAGCATTTAAACGTCTCGCTTACAACAATCGCGGACAAAAAGATTCATTATGATCAACTTCCTAAAGAAAACTGGCATTTGATTCCAATCGACACAAATGGAAACACTGAACCTACAGACCGTAGTATACTTGGTATTATCGATAAATTGGTTGCAATGAGAGCACAATGGTTCTTCGCTGGTCGTCCTGGTGTTTGTGCAAAATCGAGTAGCTTTACTGGTCGTATTTCATCCAGCCGGTTACAAGCTTTTAGACATGGCGACGATAATATTGTCGTTCCACTCAAGACATTCAACCTTAACACATAAGCCATTTCTGTGTAAACAAACAACGCCCATTTGTACCATATAAAAAAAATTAATGTAAATATTCATTCCCTCCCCTTTTTAAATAAAAATAGCTTTTTCAGTGTCGGTCCGATTTGTTTGTGTTGGTTTTCTTTGTGCGGCTTGATTTACTTTATTTATATTGTTGTACCCACCTGCACAAATATGTAATCTTATAATGCATCGGCAACACAAAAACAGGAAATACTACCAAAATGGGTAGCAATTAATGCCTGCATACCACAATATGACACATTCATTTGTAGCATCATGGAAGACGTTTGTGGGTTAGAATAGCTCCCAAGTTCGAACCGCGGTATATATGTCTTTTTTTTTAAAAAAAAAATCACCAATAGCAAATCTGGGTTGGATTCTTTGTAGAGAAACACGAGCTGTTTCTTTGTCCTGATTTTACCTCCTGATCTATTTATAAGTGTAATGTATCAAATTGCCAACTTCCTGTATGCAGCATTTTATTTTATTTGTTAACATTTAATCATTGCAAATCCGTTTCAAGAGCCACTTTAGAACATTCGTGTTACGTTGATCTGTTATCGGTTAAATATGTCGCCTTATTATTTTGGGCTTTCTACGATATTCCTCTTTTTCCTCATAATTATTTAGCTGTTGTAAACTCAATTCATAATCTATCAATAATTTCCATAGCAAAACCTAAACCTGAACAAAGCATTTGTTCACAATTTTCGAGATTTATCGGGATCATTTGTCTCCGACATTGTTCGAGGCTTTTTTTTTTTTAATGACCTAGGGCACTCCGATCAACGTTTAATTCCATTGGTTTTGATTAAAGCACTGGCGATTTTATGTTTCTTCCGATCAGTTAGCATAAAAAAATACTTTGCCCATTAGTACGACAGAAGTATTCTCAAAATGCATGGTGCTTAAACTCATCTACGCAATAGTTACAATCGATACATTACAAATAGATCATATAGCCATGTAGACATACTACAAAAGAGTAATACTAATACATGCAATGCAAACACATGAATTGTCTGTTTTCTTGATGAGACATAATATGAGCTATAAGTAATGTGCCGAAGAGGACGTTTCTCTAGATTCGAGGTCCAGTAAGGTGTTACGTTCAATTATTTGATGTCATTATAGATGTAGTGGACACATAATTAACTAGTTTTTTTTTCTGGTGAATATCTGAAAGTTATTACAATTACAGCGTTGTTGTGAAATTTAAATTTTCCTTTAAATATAATTTTTTCAATGACAATAAACTCAATCAACAGTAAAAAGTAAAACCTAATTTTATACCGCAATGTTATGAACGGTTTCTTCTATCAGTACGAATCAATTCATCCAATGAGGTAGTTCAAAGATTAAGAAACACATTTATTTCTTAGGTTAATATATTTTTCTCGTAATAACTGGTGCCGCGAAAGGATACGGCGTATGATAATAGTTTTTTTTTTCTTTTGAAACCAGTATATCGAAAACATCTTGATGGTATCGCAAAGTCTTTAATGACTAGAAAGGTTGGTGCCAGCAGCAAAAATAACTTATCTAGAAACAATTACACATATAGAATGTATATTGTTATTTTCATGTTTAAGTGAAAGTATTAGAGTAAAAATAAAGGATAAAAGTTTTTAATAAGTGGGCGCCAGACTATGTAATTGCCAACTGAGAAGAAAATATTCAAATATGGAATATCATAAGCTGTAGAAGGAGTCGAACACACATTCTGAGTAGGTTGTATTCCAAAGAACACAAACAGTACAGCATACTGAGCATCAATCATTCGAAAATATTTCAGCCATTCGAAGCGAACTTAAAATTTTACATCATAAAGAGCGAATGGCTTTTATACTCATTAAAATGCTTTATACAAGCAAAGAAAAAAACCTTATGCGAAAGATGTTGTACAAATAGGTTTGATCTTGAAAGTTTTGAACATGATGTCTGCAACGCTGAAAGGCTTATTTTGACTGGAATACTATAACCGGAGAAAACATGGTTTTGTATGGAACCGATTATAGGGGTGGTGGACATATCAAACATTATTGGACACACCTAACATCGGTGGATCATTTATAGTTGTGAAATATATGAAGCACTCTTAGACAGAGATGACATAAACATAGCCGATAATATTCTTCAGAAATATAAAAAATAGTGCTTTGATGATGATTATCTCAAAGCTCTGCTGTTATAAAAAAGTTACAGCTATATTAACATTGTATTTAATCAAAGAAAGACGAGAAAAAAAAAGAGAACAACTGAAAAAGAAGAAAAGAGTGAGAAGATCCAACTAATTGAACAGCATTAATCAGAAGCCACATTATGCACCTATTTGCATTCCAAAAAAAAAGCTCATAAGTATTGAAACGACCAAAACTGTTATAAGAAATACATAAACGATATTTTAGCTGAAATCGAACAAGGATCAATTGACCTAACAAATTACAAGGTCTCCGTCACCAGCATAAACTGTGTCTCCAAAAAAGGCAAGCTGAGGAGGAAGGTTTGTATTATGGTAGAGCATATTTTTGATCGATTTTTAAACATCGGCTTGTTTATAATATGTATAGAATATAAAGGTAGAAAGCTCAAATTTATTATGCTGATAGATGATTGAAGAACAAGAGTGAGTTCTCGTACCAAAGAGCATCTGAGACACAGTGTGGGAAATGGAAGGGACATATTCATGAATTAAATATGCACGAGTCTGTACCACAAACGAGAGCATTACTTCTCAGATTGGTGTGTATTGTTCTAATAAATAACAGCATAGACTACCATACAAAGGAAACCCATCAAGAAAATGCAATCAAAATAAAGAACAAGGGATTGTTTCAGTGCGCTAACCCTCAGTGGAGCTATGCCAGACCAACAACAAAGAGATGTGGTGTCTCAAATACGTCAGGGATGACTCAACTTATATTTTAGCAGACACTTTTTGCATTCTAACTTCTATCATTAAACCTCATCCTTTTCAAATGAAATAGATCAAGCAGGCGGTGCCGAAGTCACTACATAAAAGTGATTTTTTATAGTCTTCCTCATTCAATCAATATGGTCACTAATTTTTATAGTGACTAAAAATGAGATTAAAGATGCTATTGATCTGAAAAAGATTTTTCTAAAAAACTACCCCCTCAGTTACCATCACTTCTTGGGAAAGGAGGTGCAAAATTCTGTTACTACCGACAGTTAAAAAAAAAGTTGTGACTCGATCCTTTTATAATTAGGCATGGGAATACCACATGCTTGACATTCCAAGTGAGCTTTAAATATTCTTTCCTTCCCCCTTCACATTTTCCCACATTTTTTTTTTCCTCTTATATGTCTATTAGAAAACCTTTTCCTACTGCCACTTCCGATACTGGTTTTCTTCAGGTACAAAGCAACATCTATATAAAAAAATGATTTCATACCAGTTAAACAACTTTGGATTATACAGGAACCACCACAGCTAAAAAATCAATATGAAGACGATCTTGTTTTCAAAAACGTTTTGAAACGACTAATTCCACCTACCATACTTTCTGAGATTGAACCCGATCTTTCCCAATTTGGCGATCGAGTTACTAATGGTAATTCCATTCAAAAAAATCATACTTATGAATATTTTACTGATGATTAATTTTGTATCTAGATATCTTGGCCATGGGGGATGACGTAAATGTTCCTAGTAACTATCCACGGCTTACACAGTATGATGCTTGGTGCAGACGTATTGATCATATCTCGGTTTCCCAAGGATGGAAGGAATTAAATGATGTTGCAGCCGAAGAAGGGTAAATGCGACTCGGATCTTATGCAAAAGTAATCATACACTTAAAGTATTCTGTTTAATTTAGTCTTGTTGCAATTGCATATGAAAGAAAGTATAATGAATTCTCACGAATTTATCAATTTGCAAAGCAATACCTTTATATGCCCTCAGCAGCCATGTATTCATGCCCTTTATCAATGACTGGTAAATAGTACTGTGAGTAATTTCTGCTTATTCTTTACTTATGTTATACTTTTAGATGGAGCCGCTCGTGTTATTGAGTTAAATGGAACCGAAGAAATCAAAAACAAGTATTACTCGAAACTGATTAGGTAATTGTTAAAAGAAAGGAAGAAGGCCATGATGTAATAACAAACCGATATTTCAGTCGTGATCCTCGCAAATTTTGGACCAGTGGTCAGTGGATGACCGAGCGTCCCGGCGGTAGCGACATTGGCCAATCAGAAACCCAGGCAGAGTTATTGGATGAAGGGACTAATACTTGGTCGATATCCGGATTCAAGTGGTTTTCCAGCGCTACAACAGCCGATTTAACTATGCTTTTAGCACGAACAATCGATCCTAAAGAGGGTACAGTTCGGACTGGAAGTAAAGGGCTTTCGCTTTATATTGCTGAAATGAGACAACCTGATGGCCAGTTAAATGGGGTCAAAGTTCACCGTCTTAAGGATAAATATGGTACCAAGGGTTTACCAACTGCCGAGCTTCAACTCAGCGGAATGAAGGCTAATATGGTATTTATTTAATTTTCGGGTCTTTATACGCAGATTTTGCTAACAAATTTTTCCTTATTCATTAGATTGGAAATACTGGACGAGGCGTACCTGGCATTGCATCTATTCTCAATATCACACGTATTTACGCTTGTTTGGGAGTTGTGTGTTCTCTTCGTAGATCCCTTGTTATCGCAAAAGATTTTGCTTACAAACGTCATGCATTCAATAACACTCTGGACAAGACACCTTTGCACATCACTACACTTGCACAATTAGAATTAGTCTTTCGTGCTGGTGTCCAAATTTCATTTTATTGTATCGAGTTACTAGGTCGTACTGAGTGTATACAAGAAAGCCAGCATGATGCAGCTATTCTTCGTTTTTTGACACCCATTGCTAAGGCTTATGTGTGCAAGATTGGGATTAATGCTTGTAGTGAAGCTATGGAAGCGCTTGGTGGTCAAGGGTACATGGAAGAAATTGGTATTGGACGTCAGCTGCGAGATGCTCAAGTCAATACTATCTGGGAAGGTACGACTAACGTTTTATCAATGGACGTTTTGCGTGTCATTCAAGAAACTAAAGGAAAATGTCTTTTGACGTTCAGAAATGTAAGTACTTCGAAAAATTTTTTTTGGCGATGATTGAAAGAATTAAACATAACCTATAAAATTATAGATGGTAAAAGAAAAAGTGGATCGTGCTGCTCAAGCCTCACCCCTCTTGGTTGAAGCTGTTAAATCTGTTCATATTGCATTGCATAATATTGATACTTTTGTTAATTCAAACAAAACACGTATCGAGATTGAATCCAATGCTCGTCAGTTGACCTTTGCATTAGGCAGGACTCTTGCTGGTGCACTACTTATTGAGCAAGCAGCATTTGATATCACTAACAAGAATGAGGGTGCCGAAGAAGACATCATTGTTGCAAATCGTTGGTGTTGTGTACGTGATTTTACACAAGAATTAATTCCTATTAATGCCGATCTTGTTGCGGACGAAGCTAAAATAGTGTTCGGATCCAATGCAAAGATATAAATAAAACGATTGTATAAATAATTGATTAAGAGACTCTTTTTAACAAATGCTGATATCGTTTGAAATCACTGCCCAGTTTATCATTGTGTACTATTTATAGGACCTCAAAAGGTACATACATCACTGCTACGTCTTTTTAACAGCTTAAACCTTTCACCCTGGTTGAACACTAAGAATTCTGACTATTCTTATTATTGTCGTGAAAAAAGTCACGGTTCGGTACGTGATGCTTTTGTTTAGATGGAAAATTCGACAATTATATGCAAGTTGAACACATTAGCAAAAATATGAACATGATTACATTTTTTTGTAGAACAAACTAGGCCTATAAATACATGGTTCTGGTTCGGGAATACTAATTCTGGAAAGAATTATAAATCCACCAAAAGTATCGTGAGTGCCCCATGATTCTATCTATGAGAAGTATGGATATAAACAAATTGGTTGGCTTGCTACCAAAAATACATTTTGTCGCGGAACTCTAATAAATAACGCAAGCTTGGCGTATGCACGCACCCAGAGATTTATGTGGAACACGATTAAGATTTCTGTTTTATTCGTTTGTTTGTCATTAAACTATCGTACTGAATAAGAAAATGCTGGAGCATATGAATATCATTCCGTCTACAATTTTCCCACCAATTTACCATAATTGCGTTTACACCTGACAGGGAGGGGGGGGGGTGAGGAGTAGTTGGTCTTTTGTCATACAGACGCAACAAAAATATTTGTTTTATATTTATTTAAATTTAGTATAGGAAAGAACTCTAATTAGTGTTCTATTTTCAGAACAGTCAATGCCAAGAAGCATCAAGCTAAGTAAATGCATCGTGACGGTATACAAACATTATGGCATGTCGAGTATAACACATATATACACCAGCCACTAAAAAAAATCATAATAGCATGAATAAACAGAACCTATTTCATCTCTCTCTCTTTATTTTTTCCCGGCCCATCCGAATAGGCGAAGAGGGGTCCTATGGCTTTGTAAAAATTCGTAGCATTAAAAAGAGCGCTAAACCCCAAACAGAATATTTGTCTATCTTGGAACTTAAAAATCAAAGGCACGTTACACACATTTAATTATTTAAAAGGTAGTTTTATTATAGGTGATGTCTTATATTACAGGTTAATTTATAGAGATTGATATAGATAATAAACCAGACGAAGGGTTTAAAATTAGGAGATTGTTTATATTCGGATAAGTGGCGATAAATGTATTGCTGAACTAGCAACAGCACTCTTCACAGATACAACAGCAGCCAATAGTAGCTAAACAGTTTGTTAAGCAACCTGCACCACCTCTTAATCTTAACATGAAAGAGCCAGAGTCTTCATTGCGGTGATTTTCGCACTGTCCAGCGGTTTGATCAGGAACATTAGGAGCAGTCTGAGTTGTCATAGTTTCAATAGTAGGATAACCTGTATTTTTAGCCATGGTAGCCATAGGGATTTCAGAAATAGTAGGTTGGCTCATTTTTTTTAAGAGAGATAAATGTATTGTTGTTATAAAGATGTATAATATAGAAGGAGAAGAAAAATAACTTGTTAAAATTCTGCTCTATTTATACAAACAGGAGCTTTTTCTGTACATCGTCTAACGTGACACATGATGTATTTGAAGTGCCACAAAATGCTTAATCGTTGCCTCTTCTTGGCAATTCAGGCATTACGTCAATACATCGTCATTGTCATATTATCCATTTCCACTTGCAATGATTCTGTAAGATTTCTGGAAAAAAGGCAATTTTGTGATCTGGCGATATTATTTAATAAAAAAATAATATTACGGGGTACTTAAAAGGGTTCCAAATATCTTTTAATTATGCATAAATAATGTAAAATTTGCCAAAATCACCAAGTCTTTGGTTTCAGGAACTAAAAACAAATTCAATATGCACAAAAACTTAATATAAAATAAGGGAGTTGCATTATTAAGCTATAGATAGTTTTGTGCCATGAAAAGCTCAATCTAAACTTTTAAAAATATGTTACAAAAAAAAAGTATGCAGCAGATGCAGGTTAAAAAGGCTTAATTTTTACTATTTATACGGTCAAATGTGTAGTATAAATAGCTTTGCTAGTCCCTAGTGAACAGATTTCAAATTGACGCAGCCAATTTAGCTATGAATAAATAACTGGATCTGATATTTATTTATTTTTATTACGGGGATTTTTTTTTTTATTTATTTATTTATTTATTACAAAATGAAATAAAATTCATCATTTGGACTATATGAACAAGGCAAGAGTCTAAATGGGTGATTCCGTCGTGATAATACTACTTTCGGGCGATGTTCCATAGGTAATTGAGCCATTGACCTCATCATCGTCTCTTTTAAAGAGTGTAGCCCAGTATTTCACTTTGGTAGCATCTGGCATCAAGACACCGCCATCATCCACCAGGTCCTTATCTTTCATTGGATCATATAGATCATTTGTGAATTTTTCTTTATCCGAGTTAAAATAATCCCATATACTGTAAGTTTTATCTTGAGGATGATGTTTTGATCTTTCTGCCTCCGAATTGAATAGGAAGGTACCGAACTGACAGGAGTAGACATGATAATGCAGATCGATGAGCATTTGTTCATTGAATTCGAAGCGAGTAGGATGTGAGCATAATAATTGATAGACACAGTCTAAAAATTGATGAAATACGGGACTTGTTTCGCGTTGATAGTAATTTGATTTATAGAATTTGTTTTGCATATCCTTGATTGTGTTTGTGGCAGCGTTCCCCCCAGAATGAGCTAAATTGACAAAGTATTTTTCATTCGAGAGATGTCCACATCTATCTTCGAATTTATGCCCAAAAGATACCCAGTCCTTTTCCATTAGAACCTGAAATCCTTCAAATGTACGATAATAGGGGTCTAAGCATAATTCACTGAGAGATACGAGTTGTGATGTACGATCCCAGCCATCGGAACAATGGACAAGCACATGGGAATTATATACATGAACACTTTTTACAATTGTCATTGTTCCTTCTACTACCATTGTGATATGCTTCAACCATCCAGATCTCAGCAAAGCACCTCTATTTACTTGTCCGCCTGCCGAGTCTATACCTTGCATAGCTTTATATATATATATATATATCAGTAATCGAATGCTTTCTCATCCATCTTATTAAGACCTTACCTTCACTCATCTTGGCTAAACTATCTCTCATGACATGGATATTGTCAATTGCCACATAAATCTTTTTACAGTTCCGATAATGATCCATATTTTCCGTTCCAGCGCCTCTTGCCACATTTCCTACTGCATTTGCCATGGGTCTAGCATCTACGATTAAATTGGCAGCTGTTGAACCATACACAGTTTCACCGTTAGGACCTGTGGGTACGTTGGATGAAAATACAGCCTCTATTAATTTCTCATCTTGAATCGAACGCGCTTGTTTGAATCCAACGAGTGGTTGACTGCTTCTCGTAATTGTTGCCTTTTTGTCGTTGGGTGATGGTGTTAAAATGAGTTTTTTTTAAAAAAGATTCAAGAGAAAAAACTTACCGAGTTGTGCCAGTGCATATAAGACAGAGCAGGGATTCGAGCTTTACTACGATATTTTGCAGCATAATTGAGAGTATTATCACTTATTTTTGTTGGTACAACCATGATGCGAGGGTATGTAGGTGAATACTAATAAAGATGGTCAATCGATCCCAAACTACAAAAGAGAATACAAAGCTATTTGTTTACCTTATAATCTTGGTTGATGGGAGTGAATCGCCAGGTATTTGTGGTTTCGTCGACACCCATCCGTTGATATTCTTTAATAGGGTCATAGATTTTCCAACCATTGTTGGCAGTAAAAGGTATTCGAGGTTGATAAGCATATGCATAAAGTTGTTCTATTGAGCTTACACAAGCGAGCTTTTGAATGCTATCAAAAACGTCTTGTGCTTCGCCGTCCTTTAATAATGACAAGGTCAGGATCATAAAGTCTCTGCATTTGATATGAAGAGGGTGACGACCGGACTGTAAAGAAGGGGGTTGTCTTTCGACTGTATGTATGATAGGGTAAGGAATCTATCAAAGAAATGGTTCAATACTATTGGATAAGTGTAAAATAAATATATGTGTGTATACCCATAACTCCTCTCCGGAATGGTTAAATATCAGGTGGTGAACAGTCAGGTGTAATGTACCAACAGATGTTTCTTGACCTCTGTCTAATTGTACATCTTGGACCTTTTTTATTCATTTTTTATCAGTGGTCAATAAGTCATTTGAAGTACTATTTTTATGTATAATTGGGGTGAGTTAAACCTGTGTAATCTTTAAAAGATCAATTCGACTAGGCTGCATGTTTCCTTGAGGTTGGAAAAGCGTGGGTAATGAAACGCGAGCAAGATTGAAAATGGCGAAAATGTGGGGGGGGGGTGGGGAAAAAGAGTTTGTAAAGATGCAAAGAACAACAAAAAAAAAAAGAAAGATTTTAAATGTCTCTTGTCTGGAGCAAAAACAAAAAAAAAGAAGTATAAAAAGAAAGGCACACACACACACACACACGGAAAGAGAAAAAGCGACATCAACCTTGTTTTTTCTTTTGGTTCTCAGCCGAAATCAGAGAAGGGCTCACGTGAATACGAAACTTTTGGGTGTGTAAGGAAATATGTATTTACTGTGAGTCATTGTATGCAGCTTTTAGCGGGTTTTGTTCATTTTGTAATTATTACTTCATTTGACGTTTATCAAACAACAGATAAAACATTGGTTATAAAAAAAAATGGTAATATCTTTAAGCGATTATTGTTCCTGAGTCTATTTTTGTGTTCTGGTTCAAACGTTTTACCAAAGTTCTTAAACAATAGGCCCTCCCTCACGCTATGATTTATCAGATTAAAAAAAATTAACATAGTACGAAAGTAACAATGAATCCAGATAAGTCTTCATTCTAAGGGTTTTCAGGGCACCATTGTAAAAATTAAAAAAAACAACGTAATTTGTGTAACACATTGCCTCTCCGACAATCCTGCTTGCAAAGGAAGGGCACTTACTTAGTTCCGGAGATAGCTAAATACCTCTCACAGCGACAATTAAAGTAAAAGAGATATTCAGTGAAGAGAGAAAAATCCTATTAAGAACGAACTATTGATTACGCTACAAAAAAACAAAAAGCTTCAATGTAAATAGGGTTTATTATTGTCACTATTTTTTTCTTGATACAGAATGTCTCCACCTTCGATCACTGGATTTATGCCATACACACACTTTTTTGGGTGAGATTAAATTGATTGGAAATAAGTTATCTAATGCTATGGTCAGTAATAGCATTTAAGATTGTATAAATTCGGTTACTTTAAACATAGTAGATACAAACCTATGCTTTGAGTTAAAGACTCATTTTGAACAAGGGAGAGAATATATAGACTATGATTTAAATGCATATTTACAACATGGTCAAGTAAAGTATTCCCATAAAATATATGATGTATGCTACTAATGTTCTTGGTGTGGTAGTTGTCGTTCTCTCCAACGTGATGGCAAATGGGTGAGTTCATCAAATACAAGCTTCATATTGTGTGAATGAATGGCTCAGCCTCGAGATACATTATGAACCAGTATAACATCCAAACGCTTTAGTTTAATACCGACATCATTTCCTGTACTGAAACGAGCTTTGGCCAATCAAAAAACAGCTGTATGCATTTTTTCCTATTCATGGAGGAAATCACCCCCTACACACACACTCATTTGAAAGTTACACACATGAAAAGCTCATGACTAAACCAAAATACCACGCTTTTTTTGTGTGTATAAGTACCTCTTTTTGTTTTGTTTTCTTTTCTTTTTCTTTTTTTTTTTTTTTTACAGTACGAATATAAAACAATGACTGCCAAAGCTACTGATCGAGTTTCTCAAATTATGAGCCATTTAGCTCAAGTGACACCCTCACTTAAAGACAAGGTGTGCATCGTGACAGGCGCAGGTTCTATTCATGGCATTGGGTAATTGACTTGTTTCATGAAACCCCCCTAAACAAGAAATAACATATCCCCCCCCCTTTTTTTTTTTATGTAAATACAGTCGTGCCAGTGTGATTGCACTTGCGAAACGAGGACCCAAAGCCATTTATGTTTCTGATCTTACCTTGGACAATTTACAAGAGTTGGCCAAAGACATTGAAGGTATGGGTGTGGCGTGTTATGCACGTGCAGTGGATGCGGCCTCTCCTAGTGCCGTGACAGGTATCATTGATGAAGCGATGAAGACGTTTGGTCGATTGGATGTGTTTTTCGCTAATGCCGGTGTGGCATCCGGTGATCGTATTCAGGACGAAACCGCTGAGTCCTTTATGAGAATGATGCGTATTAATGCATTGAGTTGTTTCCTTGCTATTAAGCATGCGGGAGAGGCCATGGGTGTCACAGGACCCGGTAAAGCCTATTCAGGTGGATCCATCATCTGTACAGCCTCCGGTAGGTGACTAGGGAAGGAGAGAGGGAAACAAGGAAAGGGGAGGTATCTAACATTTAGATATTAGTGGCTGGTATTCGTTCTGGTGCTGGATCACCTGAATATTCTGCTTCGAAGGCAGCGTAAGTACTATCAGGAAAAATGAAAAATCTTTACTGACAAATAGATGATTTAGTGTGATTAATTTATGCCAAACAAGTGCGTATCAATATGCCGGTAAGGACATCCGAGTGAATGCCATTTGTCCCGGATTGATTGAGACCGGTATGACAAAATCGACGTTTGATTATGCGCGTGAAAGAGGATCTGCGCACAAGATTGGACAGTTGAATCCTACGAAGCGATACGGTGTATCATCCGAGATTGCGCATATGGTTGCATTTTTAGCCTCGGATGAAGCGACATATATCAATGGACAGGCTATTGCAATTGATGGTGGTCTTTCTGCCAGCCATCCTGTGGTCCCTGGCAAATCGCATTAATTTTTTATTATTATTATTATTATTTTTTAAGAAAGTTGTGTGGTATCAATAAAATGTTGGATGGTGGCCTCACCAGCATCGACGGTAAACCGTTTTTCTCGACAGACGATACTTCCATGCGCATTAAAGGCACGGATATACACATAGACTTTTTCCCAGTCAAGTAAATTGAGGTTTTTGTGGATGGAGAGGGTGGTTGGATCCAGCGGTAAAGGTTTGGCCTTTTCGGCTAGACATTTCCCTGGTGAATGACAGAGGATGGATTTTTGATCCGAATACGAGTTGGAGTGCTTGAGAGGCGGGGATGAATCGCCAGGTAGGTTCACAGCGTCTAATGCGCCTGCCAATAAATCGCCGTCCATCAGACGATCATCCTGATTGAGTGTGGTATGTTCGCTATCGACAGAGGGCATCATGTCCCCACCGGATTGCAGTAACCCCGAGACTCTGTAGCGTGAGATCAGACCTTGGATGCCGATGGCTGAAAAGGCGAGGATGAAAAAAAAGGGAGAAATGATGGCTAGAAAGAGGTAAAGGAGGCATTTCAAAAGGCGTGGTTTGAGCGGTTGCTTTTCTTTGGGTGTACCGGGAGCTTTTATATCGTAAGCTGTGATGACAGATGAATATTTTTTATCCAGCGTTCTAGTTATGTACATCAAGGTTAGAAATAAAAAATGGGAGGAATAACAATAGCGTTACTGTACATGTCTAGTTTGCCTTTGCTTTCATAAAAGTAATCCATGATCTCCATGCCTGCAGTCCAATAGGGTACGGTCCGATCATTGGCGACATTTGCATAGGAACGTTTCACTTTGAATTTGGCCAGTGTTTTAAAGTACACTTGATCTATTACCAGGGGGGAAAAATAGTCAGCGAATAGGAAGGGAGAAAGGGAAGGGGTTGTTGTTACCTGGATCCGATAACACTTCCAAGATGGGCTTGTTTTTCTCAAACTTGTCTATGAGTTGTAACTGTTCGCCAGATCTGGAAACCATTCGACCACTAACGAAATTGAAAAAGGAGGAAAAGAGGGAATGGGAAGGTCCCTTGACGCCTAAATGTGGAGTGGCAAAGGAAACGTAGTACTATAACTTGTTATTTTAGAAATGGTTGTATAAAAGAAGAGAGAGAGAGAGAGAGTACTTACGTCGGGTTGGATGGCACCAAAGAAACCTCTTTGAGCTAAGAGGCCAATGGTGTATCTTGTAATTAACCCGCCAAGGGAATACCCAATGATACTAAATCGGGTTACTTGTGTCCCGTTTTTACCTAGTCGTACCACAGTGGATTCAATCTAATTATTACGACATTTACTATGAGACATATAAAAAGGAGAAAGGCTTGCATTCTTTCTTTTTTTTTTTTTTTACCTCTTGGGCTAATCTTCGGCCGCAGATATCAATGCCGTCATAGGAATACTTTGCTTCATTCACACCTGCATTTAACTAGCAAGTGGGCAACATTGAGTTTTTTTGTCATGTTCGAGATCTAAAAGAAGAAAGAACTTACAATGTAAATGCTGTCTCCGTATTTGGCTTGAAGTTTTTGTTCAATGTACAGCATGTGTTTTTTGACACCCCATAAACCATGGGACAACACCACGAGTGACACTTCTTTTGACATTTTTTTTTAAAAAAATTATGATAACAGAGAGAGAGAGAGAGAGAGAAATAATGATAATGAAATTTAAAAAAAAAAATATTTTTATATTTATTTTCGGTTGGAGGCAAATACATTCACCCGCACCATAAATGGTAAGAAAACGAAGCGCATTTTATGTGTAACACTCTAATCCACTTTAATGCTTGCGAATATCTTTCTTAAAAAGTAAAGACACGAAAGATAGCCAATTGAACCTAAAATAGAGCAATTAGATAAAACAAAATCCCATTCTACTTTTTCTGTACTTTACCGGTCATGATGGCTAATAAAACACTAATGATGGAAGAATACCCAAAATAAAGCACGGTACTTGTAAACGTATTGATGTTCAATTTCGTAAAATAGTACAAGAACGAATACGCATACACATAGAATCCCGTAGCCGCCGCTGTTAAAAACGCACGCCACGACCAATGATAGTCCTCGCTACACATATGGAAATAACACATCAACACCGTGACTTGGGCACATGTAATAATCAGCACACCAAACACCAAGAACAAGAACCCGATACCGTAGTAAATGCGATGGAACCAGATTGAGTTCATGATAAAGTAGAGTTCGATAAAGATTGCACCAAAGGGCAAGATACCACCCATAAAAATGGACGGCAACATGCGCAGGTACGTGGGTTGGTCGGGGATTTGTCGAGGGATTTGGTTGGTACGGACAGGTTGCTCAATACGTGGTTTACGTAAGCCAACGTACGATCCCGCAATACTGAGCGGGAAGGAAATCACCAGCCAAAGTCCTGCAATGGCCATCATCGTTCCAAAGGGGACAGCTCCTGAGGAGTTGGAGTAAATCAAAAAGAAGTTTAACCCTAATAACCCACCCAGCAACGTTCTTTTTTTTTTACATACTAAATCAGTTTCTGTTTTTTTTTTTTTTTTTTTTGTATCCTCATCCATTAATAGTAACTTACCCAGGAAGGAGTGTAGCGGTGAGGATCATGTTCATCTTCCACATTTCACCACCATTCATCTTGTAGAGACGGGCAGAGGTGTACCCAGAAGTACAACTAAAGATCATGAAGAACAAGATCATCATGGTACCCAAGGATCCACGATTACTAGGGGATAAGAAACCAAAAACGGCAAAGACGAGAATGACACCTGTCATGACGACCAATTGTACACCACTACCTGTTAAAACAGCCAATGTCATGGGTTTATTGGGAGGTCGGAATACATCGCCATGTACGAGCTTCCAGCCATAATCTTCCTGCACATCCTCCTACAAACGTACATCAGTCAACTCTATTGCCCTCACACTCATTCCATGTGTTTAAAAACTTACCTGGGCGTCGACGGCGTTGTAGCGGGAAATGTCTTTATGAAGAGCACGTAACAAGATCATGGCAACCATACCTGTCAAGAACAAGACAATGATGATGGAGTTGATCAGGGAGAACCAATGAATGGAAGGATCCAAGACGTAGAGGTAACCATCCCAACGTGTGGCCCACACAGTTTCTGAAGGCTAAATTGTAAAATAATGGAAAAAGAAAAAATTGTGAGTTGAGGACAGAAAGAGGGGGATGCTTATTTGGGATTTGAATAGATTACGATCCAGTTGACAGAATAGGTGTAAACGACGGTAGATTTTCCATCTTCTTTAAGATGAAAGGGTTCTGCTTTATCAGTACACATGTTTTCGCTGGTTGTATCGGTGGCTCTACTAAAAGGTTTGACCACAACGCCTACCACGCGATTGAGGTTACGGTTGGTGACATGGTAATGAATGGTGATACCGTAATGGTTGTTTAAATAGGGCACATCCTCATAGGTTGTGCCTAATTTGAAACCAATATTGTAATATTTCTCTCCTGTATGTTCATCCAAGTCTTCGGTAGCGGCGGGCAAACCATCCACAGCCCAGTTCATAGCATAACCGTCCGTCACGACTTTATTGATGAATTTGGCGTCGTCTGCGGGGATAGGTTCTGTCTCGCAAAGTAACTGACAGGCCGTGTCTTTTTGCATTTTCAACTATGTAACTCTGTTAGTTGCCTATACAGGTAAAGAGGGGGGTGGGGGAATGAACCCACTGAAAAAAAATACTTACCTCGAAGGGCGAGTTGAAGATACGGTCACCAAAGATGATGGAGCCGAGACTTTCGGCCTGTTCTTGCATGCCCTTAGGAGGCTTGCAAAAATGTAGTTTTTCATTGTAGTAATCGTACGAGATGACTGATTTGACTTGTTGTGAGCTAGAAGGCGAAAGCGTGTTTACGTTTAGCGTGACGAGTTCTCCCTTTTCGTAATCATGGGGGGAGACGCCCGGCAAGTAGAAGGCCGAGCAAAACAAGGGGAAAGCGGTGAGCGCTATTGCCACTTGTTTCAGTGATTTCATTCTTATAGATTGCGACTATTTAAAACAAAAAGAGAGAAAAGGAGGCTAAGGTTAAGGCTCCTTTTTTATTTTACCAGAAAAAAAAAAATGAATGATCGAAACTCCGTTTTAAAATAAAAGGGGGATCACCGTAAGCGCAGAAGATGAGAAAATGGAGGAAATGGTTTTAGAACTGGAGGAAATGATTATTACTAAAATCAAAAACATATATAAAAAAGTATGGGTTTGAGCAAAATGCATGCTTTATACACTTATTCCAAGAAAACAGTAGGCCACCGTACCAAAAAACAGTACACTTCAAAATGTTTGCTTTGAGGTTCCGCCAAGAACTGGTAATTTACGCCTTCTTCAAATTATAAACATGAGCAGTTCCACTAAAAGTGTAAAAATACTACATTTTTTAGAAGGCAAGTATTTTTTTTTACAACTAACTAGACACGTGCTATTAACAGGTTTTATTTGTATAGTTTTAAGTCACTTCTTCTTAACAAATGAAACGGCTGAAGGTTTTTTTTTTTTTTTTTTGCAAATGTTTCCATCTTAAGCAAAGGCTCAAACATTTATGGATGATTAAATAAGCAATTAAATCATTCTGACATAATCTCTTATTTATCATTTTTACAAATGAAACTCGTTCACACACACTTTTTTTTTCCGTTTTTCTTTTTCTTTTACCATACTTCACTCTTTTTTTTTTTTTTCAAACAAAGATGCATTCCCATTCTTGCAATATCGCGGCTACGGCTAGTCTTTGCTATAGGTGGGCGACCTCCTAGGCAGAGTTCTTGGGATTTCGACTCTCAGTTGATGGAGAGACTGTAAATGGCAGTGTTTACACTGTAAATGGCAGTGAATACACTGTGAATGGCAGTGAATACACTGTGAATGGCAGTGATTACACTGTGAATGGCAGTGATTACACTGTGAATGGCAGTGATTACACTGTGAATGACAGTGATTACACCGTGAATGGATGTAATCGTATTGTCTTCCTCGTCCTGGCCGGAATTTGTGTAAGTGGTATAAAAAAAATACGTTTAGAAAAAAAAAATACGCGGATATCTTGACATCTCCAGCGTACATATAATATATATATGTGTGTATACTAAAAACTAACAAAATAAGTGACTTCAATAATAGAACATCAGCCATTTGGAGACAAGTGTACACGCTACACTGGCTACATATAAGGCGTTTCATCTATAGAATTACATAGAACGAAACGCCTATATCAAAAAAACCGATATACCGATCTTCTCGGATTTTGTACTTAAAAATTCAACTAGTTTAATGGCCTGGTCTAAAGACAAAGTTCACATGGATGCCAAACAATTGTACTCTTTGTGGAGAAACAGATTCGCTCTAAGTTTAAGATCCGAGAATAAACTCCAGCTCATTTGTGAAAGGTATGAAAATGATGTTGAATTTAAAGACCAAGATAAAATTAACAATATATTCTGTTTGAAGCAAGAACCATTTTGAGAAGGAGCTTTGGGAACGGATAAGAAAAGGAGCACAAAGTTTGGTAAGCGGATCTTAAACGCGTACATGGAAATTGTCTAGAACTCCTTATTTATTTATTTTTTCAAACGTATTTTTTAGAATCACGTCTGATGGTGTCTTTATGTCGATTGACATGCCATATTGTCTAAACTTCATAGTATTCTCAATTTTTGTTTTTAATAAAATCAGCTTCACTGTCAATACAAGCTGCTCCTGGAACGCAGATAGATAACTAATAAGTTTTGACTTGCTTGGGAGGTTTTTACAAGTATTTCTATTTCAAGTAAAGGCTCAAACACTTTGGATGATTAAATAAGCAATTAAATCATTTTGACATAATCTCTTGTTTATCATTTTTATAAATGAAACACGTTCACACACACTTTTCCTTCACCATATTTCTCTTTCTTTTTTAAAGTGAAAAGGTAAGTATATAAGAACTTTTTTTTTTTTTTTTTCAAGAAACACTAAATTGTTCAATCAAAGATGCCTCCGAGCCAGACACGGAAGATTTTATAATGTTTGGTTTTTGAAGTATGATCTTTTTTTTTTTCTAAAGCCAATGCGTAAATAATACTAATATATTTTAGCACTTTAAATAGCTGTTGTTGAAAGTTTCTGTACCAACAGTAACAAAAACAACAACAAGGGAAAAAATCAATGGGCCTGAAAGCGCATCTAGTTCTACCACCAAAACAAGCATCCAGTTCTGGTGGTAACACTAGGACTATAACTAGTTTAATTCTTTCCAGCTATCATGCTTTGTCAGACCACTTTTAACAAGTAGTCTGACTCAAAGACAAACGGAAGCTTAATAATGATGTGTATGTGGAAGATATTCTTTTACAATTATGCACAATCACGAGATTTAGAAAAGTAATAATGTACTACAACCTTTTTTAAATTGTTTACTAACTTAATTTTATTTCTAGTATCTGTCATTCATTTGTGATTAACGTGAAAGATAACCAGTTGAAAGAGAAGTTCAAGGAAATATTGGCATACTGTAATAAGTGAAAGTAACAAACCACTTCCGACAATCCCTGCTGACCCTATCTTCACATTTGCAAATGATTTTCTAGTCTAGTAAGATATTTGGTTTATGGTTTATTAAAGCTTGTAACTTAGTTTATCTTTAGAAATCATATAACGAAATTGACCGCTTAGGAAAAATGTTGTCACCATACACTAAAAAAAAAAAATGTGTATCGACACCGCATGTCTTACTTTGGTGTCTAACATATAGAAGATGACATCCTCGTCAATATTTGGGTCATTTTTGATCAAGCAATCAACTCGTACAACCTACAGGTAATTGAAAATGACGTTCTATAGGTACCCATTTTTTTTAAATATCTAAGAAAAATGGCTGTCCCTAAGAAAATTTGGCTGTCCCCAAGAGACCTGTTCTTTCAGGCATTTTAAATATTGGATTTTTTTATTTTATTTTTTTTTATTATTATTATTATTTCTTTCATATTATAAAACTAAATATTAAATTATCTTTAGATAATCAAAATATAAAAAAAAAAAACGCAATTACATTTTACATACTGAAACAAAAAAAAATTATAATTCTATCTAATGGGTCTAACGATTGTCTGTTAGTCTGCAGCAGTAGCAGCGGATTCGACAATCAACCCACTGTTGTTACGAAACAATTTCTCAGAGGTAATGTATTTCTCTTGACGATCCAATAAACGTTTGACACATGCCAGGGTCGACGGTAAGGTCATAAACAACCAAGCGGCGATGGGTAAATTGATATAGTCAATCAAATGAGACAAGGTACGACTTTTGGACTTGTGTAAGAACTCGCGGTCAATGGTCCGATGTAATTGTTCATAGACGGCTAACGTACCAAACAACGGTAGCGGTAAGCAGAGTGTGACCAATTTAATGGCCTTCCATAGATGTCCATAGAAATCCGAGGTCAAGATAGGGTTTTCTTGGGGTGGCACAAGCGCCATGATGGATGGGAAGGGTGGGAACAACAAAAATTGCATGATGGGGACAGCAGCAAACATCAACCAACCGGATGTGGCAGGTACCATGTGGGCTTCCAAGATAATGAAACATACCTTGAGGCGTTCATAGAAGCTGATGGCGGATGGTGATTTAAAGGCGTTCCTTAAGGTGTAAGCAACATCAGCTACACCATTGTAATGACGTTTGGCCTGTACAAAGCGAGCACTGACATTGGAGAAATAAGACGAGGTTTGGACGTTGGTCAAATTGATGGGGACATAAATGGGAGCGGTACGGACTTGTCCTTGTGTTTTCCAGAAACATTTTAACCACATGTGCATGTCTTCCCCTACCGCATCTGCATCGGTATCCCAATAACCTACTTCATCTGCTAACACCATGGATAAAGAGTAATTAGAGCAAGGGATACACATACCACGACTATTGGACAGGTTGGACATGACCATGGCAGACCAAGTAATATCCGTCACACGCACAGCAGCGGGTACATCAAAGCAATTACGAGAGAAAAAGATGGGTGGAGCACACACTAAATGATATGGATCTTCTGACTTGGCTAAGGCTTCTTCTACTTCACGAATGTAGAGTTCGGGGATAGCTGAATCAGAGTCTGACACGGTGATGATAATTCGATGAGGATCGATGCCTAATTTGACAAGCTGAGAACATCCTTGACGAGCGGCATAAGCTACGTTGGAACCTTTGCCGCGTGACTCACCCGGAATGTCCGATGGATGCGCAGTAATGATGATCTGGTTGAATTTACCGCTATAATACGATTGAAGTCGACGAGCCTTTTCTTCCCATCCATGTTCTGATTCTTCCATAGCCAAAATCAATGCGTAATGCGACTGAGCAAAGCTATAGGTGGAAGGATGAGAGGTCTTTTTTTTTTATAACAACTTTTTTATTATTATTATTTTTTACCTGTGACTGGCGAGACGATCAATGGTGTCTTTCAAGAGATCTTCATGCTCGCAGTAATTGGGTAAGATAAAGGCATGATAATAATGCGGATCTTCATAGTACTGTAATTTTTCTTCGACGTCATCCAAGGTTGTGCTATCATCCTTTTTGTTATTGAGACGACGATTCCATTTACGAATGGTTGCTTTAATTTTACGAGAGGTAAGCCAGAATTTACGGACGTGGTTGATTTGGGTGTAGAGAAAGAGGATAAAGTAGGTGAAGAGGACAATGAGATAGGTTCTTGGAAAAAAAAGGGGACCTAGAGGTAAGATGGCTAAAGAAGCAATAGGCACAAGTGGAGCGACCCACTCGGCCGGTGACCACAGACGGGACATGATTTTTTTTTTTTAATACTTGTGTTTGTTTAAGAGAGAGAGAGAGAGAAAATAAGCAAACAAATGGTAAAAAAAAAAAATATTAGATTGTGGGAGAGCTTTATTAAAAAAATTAAAAAATGGTGCGCGGTGAGAATTATGTCTCGGTGAGATTTACAATAAGATTATTGGGGTGAGTCTTTGGGTTTGGGAGAGACGTATAAAGAAGTGGCTTCGGTAAAGACAGTTTCACCATCGAGGGAATGAATGGATGCAGACACAAAGGCCTTACGATCCTGTAATTGATCTAATTTAGCCTTGAGCATAACCCATTGATCGGACATGATGGGTCGACGGTAATTGACGTTCAAGTTGGCAGTGAAACCAAATTTATTGGGTAAAGCGGGTATAGCGACACAAGCAAGAGCTTCATCGAGAATGGTGGCAGCTAAACCACCATGAATAATGCCGTCATGGCCACAGATATTCTCTCCCAAGTGCATCACACTTGTTAACTCGGTATAGGTCTTGTTGTAAAAGAGGACAGGTTTCACAATAAACATGCCAGGGCCGCTGAGTGCCTACAAGTTAATACTATGTTAGAAAAAAAAAAGTTTGGAAATGGAACAAATGGTTTTTTGAGGGTTGGGGCCTAGTTACCGTAGCGGTGAGGGAGTGTTGCAGTTGACTTTGGGTGGCATGACTATAAGCTCCATATTCAACCATGTCGGGATTAGCACGAAGTGCCTTGACAAGGTCCAAGTTATCTCTCACATTCTCGGCTTGTTGAACGAGATCTTGATCTTGAATGGCAACCATAGTATGAAAAGATCGTTTACTGTTTAAATGAAAGAGGGACCTGAGTGTCAACATTTTTGTCTAAATTTATATCCCCACCCCAAAGCTGTCAAATAAAAAGGAAAACGAAAAAGATTTCTAATACTAAATTAATGAATTTAATAGGCGATTGCGTTTATCCGCTGCTCCCCCATAGGTTGGGCTTTTCCCACTTTTTTTATTGCTTTATCTTTTTATTTGTGGGTGGCCAATATATATACAGCTGGAAACATAAGACAGCGTTTAAGAAACTAGCCAATAGATTGCCTATCAACATGATGTTATCGTCCAATTCGGTAAAGGTAGTGAAGGCACGTGCAGTGGTGCCGATAAAATAATTCAAACAGGCAAAAACGGACAATTGGCCTGTGGAAGCATTATAATAGTTTGTGCGGATCTGTGGTATTTTACTAGCCAGACCGATGGGTATTTGAGCAGCGTAGAGTAAGGCCATGCACCAGCTGGGTACAGACCACAAAAGGAGAAAGAGTGCAGAAAATAAAGCCAGAATAGCTAATGTGTGCTTTGACTGGAGGTGATAATGAGCGATCAGTAGACAGATGATGATATTTTGTAGGGTCATGAAGAGGACTTCACCATAGGTACTGAAGGGATGATATAAACGAGTGTTGTAGATGAGAACAATCTGATAAGCGACGGTCTCTAAAAGAAAGGATGTGATGGATAACCCCTTGGCCGATCTGTGTCGTACAATAGTCACTATTTGGGGTATCTTGACAATAGAACCACCCACCACAATACCCAAACCGAGACATTTCGAGATGGCTAATTTCAAACAAGACACGTCGTTGAATGCCCAGTCTTCAAAGAGACTTACATAGCATGTTTGACCAAAGAGTTGAATGAGCCCTTGACTAAGCATATTATATTCGTCAATATCAGGCTCCGTCACTTGTATTGGTAATGCATGCGATATGAGTGCAAACAATGCCACTATCACCACTCGATGGATCATTAATGGGTGGAGTAAAAAAAAAAAAAAGGGGGACTGGAATTTGTAAAAGCGTCGGGGCCGCACTAATTAAATTCAGACAATTTCTACACTATTTTTTTATTGGACGAGCTCCTTACTTAATTTAGACAATCTCAATGTTAATAACCCCCTCAAACACTCAGCATTTCTATCCTTTGAAAGCAAATCAACGAAATAGACAGCTGAAACGAGATTGCACCCAGGTACTAGATAGTAAAAGTTCGTTTTGATACTCATCACTCCATTTGAAAGTAGCTAGTGATGATTTATCAAATAAATTGTATATTGGTTGATGAAACCTGAATTCCACACTCAAAATGATTACAAGTAATGCGCGGTGACCCAGTGAAAGTTCATACTCAAAAAAGGGATGGTTGTATTACTTCATTTTAGTGTTCTAAACTTGCATTATGTGTGAGACGTTTGATTCAATATTGGATGGGTAATCAAAAGTTATTTACTAACGATCCATTGGAAGGTGTAGAGGAAAGCCAAAAATATATACATATCAAAATTGATTGTATCTGTTACTGAGGGAGAAAAAGAGGACATATATCATGATGATTGGGTTTCAAGTGATAATTGTTACTTTTGCTCAGAAGAGCTTGTAAAAATCCTGTCAGGTTTATAAGTCCATTGAAGGGTATTGTTGTCCATGGCTGTGGGACATCAAAAATCAATAGTTAAAAGGGGCGAATGTATGAGGATGATTATTGATTGATAATCTATCTAACTCACCCTTTGCAATAAATTGTAAAGAAAAAAAAAAGTTTTGTACTTTAAAAGCTCATGCTTCTTGAAGGCCTTTACATCGCATACTCATCTTTTTTGTTATTTCCTAAATATATATTAAAACTGGTCATGAACACTTTGCTTTTATCCTAATCATTTTTAAAGAAAGTTTCCATTGTTAATTATCCAGATGGATGGACTCTAAAATGAAATTACCTGAGCATTTTTTTTTTTTTCCAAGTATACAGCAAGTATATTTTTAGGTGGGTGAGCGGAGTTTGTCCACCACCCGGTGTACCAAAAAAAAAAAAAAAATGTGAGAGAAAAGAGAAAGAGAAAGAGAGAGAGGGCCCACAAAATCTTTTTTTTTTTTTTTTTTTCTTTTTATTCTTTTTTGGAATAAAATAAAAAAATAAAAATAAACGCGCTATTATTAAAATAAAAAAAAAGGAAGGAATGCGTCAACAAGGACGAACAGAATATTTACCTGGTACAACTGTATTTGCAAAACTTAAAGGATATCCCTGGTGGCCAGCAAGGGTATAATTTAGAAAGATGTCCTTTTTTTTTTTTTTTTATATATACGCAGTAGTAAATCTAAGAACTCATCTCTTTTTTTTTTTTCTATAACAACCACCACCACCACCACCACCACCACCACCACCAAAAGATTGAAGCGGACGGAACTGTACCTGCTAAAGTATTAAAACAAAAGTCTAGAACAAAAGGTGCTCTTTACACCGTGTTTTTCTTTGGTTCTAGAGACTAGTAAGTTGTGGGAAAAAAAAAAAAAAAGAAAATTATATATAAAAAAAAGAAAAGAAAAGGGCCCCCCTTTTTGTTAAGCAAAAAAGTGTTTGTAGTGGTTTCTTTGGACCAGATGCTATTCGACCTTTTGATGCCAAGGATGTTGAAAACGATTTAAAGGAAAAGAAGTTTAAAACAAAGGATTTGGAATTGGCTGTTCGTCAAGCATTAAACCCTTCTCTGTTAACACAAGAAGAAGAGGAAGAGGAAAGGGAAGAGGAAGAAGAAGAGGAGGAAGAAGTAAAAGAGGTACGAAAGAAGGTAGCAAAGACGACAAAGAAAGCAACACAGAAAAAAAAGGATACATCACTACCACCACCGCCAACATTAACAACAACAACAACAACAAATGCAACAACAAAGAGACGAAGTCGTAATTTACATCTTGAAGACATGGAAGATGACACTGGTGCACTTGACAATCAGAAAAAGAGAGTAAGTATTGCCTGTGTATTGCACAAAAGAGAGTGTGGCTAACCAACAAAAACAATAAAAAAAAAAGCGCAAGTCCATGTCGATTGAAAAGGAAGATGAAGGCCGTGATTCACCCATGGTGGAAAGCAGTAGTCATAAAGAGGAGTACAAAAAGTCTCCGGAATATAAAAAGGTATACCACATCAGACACAGATTACAGCGTCTGGTATATAACAAGAAAGAGGCAAGTAAGAAGGGTTTTTATATGAGAGAGAGAGAGAGAAGGAGATAGAGAGAAAGATAGAAATTAATCTCTCTCTTTGCTTATTACTATTAGGGTGAGATTCCAAAGGAAGACTATGCCAAAATCCTGCAAGTCGTCAAGGAAATTGAGGAGGCACCCATGACATATAACCTCTTAAAAGTAAGGTTTTCTTTTTTGTATAAAATTAGAGGGACATTTTTTAATCTTTCTTTTGTATGCTAGGATACCAAGATTGGCAAAGTTGTCAAGGCAGCCTGTTTATATCCCTTTGAAGACGATACAACCATTAAGGATCGCTGTCACCAACTAATGAGAAACTGGAAGCAAATCTTTATCACACCCCAAACTGACAACAAGGATACAACAATGATGGAATCATAATAAATAAAATAAAAATAAAAAATATTAAAAACAATAACCCATAAAAAGTTGCACTGTACTACAACTACCTAATTAGAGAGTTTGTTGTTATTTTCACACTCTCTCTCTCTATTTGAAGAGACTGAGAAAGGGAGTTTTTCTCTTTTGTTTATTGTCTTTTCATCCCCTTTTCTTTTTTCTTTTATATATATATATATATACACACACATGAATTATCTGACATTTTTAATTCTTGTGATTGCATCACAGCTCTCAAACGCAGCTCCTGCAGGAGATCTACCTCGATATGAGCCTGGTGTTCTCTACCTGCCTGATAAAGCCATCGCGCTAGGTGAGTTTGATTTTTTTTTTTTTAGACCTGTTTAAATCCTATTTATACTCACACACACACACACACACAAAAAAAGATGACGGGTATGAATTGAGTATTCAAGGAGTGCTGGGTGGAATGGTCTTAATATGCTGTGGATTGATGTTGGGAGTGCACAGTGTCTGGGATCGAACAGCGGCAGGACGAAACGTGCAAAGTTTGACTGGATTTATTACGTTTGGTTTGATTACTTGGGTCATGTTGGCGAATTTTGAGCCAGAGTCAACCTATGGTCAAAACCGCTTAACGATATACTTTATTGTACCATTTATGGTTGGCTTAGTTTCGGTGTGTTTCATGGCGGTCACGATTCAGTTATATCTGATGTTGATTGGTGGACTAGGTGCATTGGCCTTTGGCTTATGGATATTGGCTTGGAAGGATAACTTATCCATCACGTCTACCTATGGTAGAACCATTCTCTTGGTTGTGTTGGTGGTGGCATTCATGTTATTCTCGCTGTATTCGTGCTTCTGGGTCAAGTTGGGTGCTGCTTTGGCTGGTCCATACATGTTCTTTATGGGTTTGGATATTTATTTTCATACTGGCTTTCTTTACTGCTTTACTACCGTTCTTGACCCGAATCATCGTAAAGATTTTATTTTTGTGATGATGCTCAAAGAAGTACAGTTTTTTTTAACTTTTTTTTTTTTCTCTTTTTTAGCTCATACATATGAAGTTCATCGTGGAGTGTACATTATGCAGTCATGCATCATCATTGCTTATATCGTGGCCTATGTCATTCAGAACTTTGGCAGCGTGAGTTCTTTCTATTCGATGACTACATTTAAGAAAAAAAAAAAAACTAAATCTATTTTATCATAGCATCATATCTATAGACAGCATAGCTTTGTCATGACTACTTCTAAACTGCCTGATTATCAATACAAGTCCAATATTCGACCAAGATATTTCACTAATTTTGCCACGTTCATGCCTCCTTTTTTCCATCGAGGTACAGCGCCTATTCCTCCCGCTCCTGTTACCACCGTCATTTAAAAAAAAAAAAGAGAGAGAGAGTGAAAGAGAGAAAAAAAAAATTTTTTTTTTTTCCATTTTTTCCTTTTATATATATAATCCACCCTCTTTTCGCTTAAAGCTTTTTCCCCTCCGCACATGCTGTATCCAATAAAAATTCAAGATCTGTTTCTCTTTTTCCTTTTTTTTTTGCATAGGTGCATGAGTACAATAGAAAATATGTTTGTCACTTTCCTTGTCCTCTTGTCATTGATGACTGATAAAGAGAGAGAGAGAGAGATAGATAGAAAATGAGATCAAGATAATCAAAGAGGGTGTGACAGTGTGTTGCGTGCGGAAGGAGGAGGGAGGAGGGGGATGGCTAAACGTCGGGAGAAGTAGACAGTGATGTGTGTAATCCGAGGATTGACGAAAAAAAGGGGTGTAAATTGACCAATGAGGGAGCAGAACGGAACGATCGGCTAACCGTTTTGTCAGAAAAACTTTTTTGTATAAATAGAGGAGGAGGTTTCAACATATTTTTTTTTTTATTATTATTTTACATCTTAAACAATAATAACTTAATACAAACACAATGGTTCTTTCTATCCACTTTTCCAAATTCTTCAAGAACACCTTCTCTCACAAAAAGGAAGAAGAAAGTACGAAATCCACTGCTTCCTCTATTCACACTATCTATGAAGTGAGTCCCAGTTATACTAGAGATCCTATGCGTTGTGGTAATCATCCTGATGTCGTTGGTCAATACTATGATCCCATGGGTGGTCGATTTACTTTACATCAAGGTCACGATGCTACCAACACAGGTGCCTAATTTCTCCCCTTGACTCCACATGAACAACAACAACAAAAAAAAAAAATTTTTTTTTCATATTTGATCCCCATCAAAACTATACCCTAACCCCCCTAATACTTTATCCGAGAGCTCTCTCCTCCGTGCACGGTGATCTCCTCACTTATTTTTACATCTTATTATCCCAAAATAAATTATTTTCTATCCCATTTTAAAAAAAGAAAAAAAAAGTGTATGTATTTTTACGTAATTTTGCATTTTAGACTGACTGGTGGAGATAATTGATCTACTGACAGATGAAGTGCACTATCTTTTTTTTTTTTTTTTTGTCACTGATTATAAGGAGAAATGCATATTTATGTCAGGATAAACCCCCCCCCAGAACCCCCCATTTCCCAACGTGGTGGGTAGCAGCTATCACATGGTTTTCCCTTTTTTTTTTTTTTTTAAAAAAAAATATTAGACCCCAGAATCTGGTTTTGACTTTTTTTGATCTATAAAGCCTTTTTTTTTTCTTTGACGTTCAAAAATGATTTCTAGTGTTTATCCTAGGAAACGGTAGTCAGGGAGTGGTTTAATTGATAGATTTGCAATTTCTTATACTACGTAAAACAAGATACGTTTATAATGAAAATAATAGTGTAGATAATATATCACTTCACGATTCCAATCTACTTCCTTTTTTTTTATAACTACCTGAAAACACACTTGAGAGGATGTTCTGCAAAATGATTTGTAAAAAGTTAAAAGACTCAACAAAAAAAAAACAGGTAGGGAAATAAGCAAATGAAATAATTGTTTTTTTAAAAAAATGAAGTTGTCTTGTTTATCAGCCTAATAAATTAAAACTCGTTTATACACGTTTTTTTTTTTTTTTTTTTCACAGCAGTAACAAAAAGAACACATATATCACTTTTTAAAGAAATGTTGAGGATTATAACATTAAAATAAAACATATCACCCGTATGTTTTTAATAGGATCATCACTTGTAATTAACAGCGAGTTTGAAAAAAAAAAAGAGAGATCCCTTTTCTTTTTCTTTTTTTTTGCCCGTGTAAAATGGACACATGCCTCCCCTTTGCGTTGATACAATAAAAAAAAAAGGGCGGGTAGACAAGATTGTCCCCCTTACAGCGACAAGACATTTTTTTATTTTATGACTAGAGGGTCACACACATACACACTAAAAAGAGTTTTTGGGCATTAATAACATTTCACCGTACGACCCTTTAATTTATTTTAATTGGGAATAATATAAAAAGAGTCCAGACAGGATGGTGGCTGATAAATCATTAATGAAAAAACCAACGCTGGAATTTAAAAAAAAAAAAAAAAAAAAAAGAAAGTGGCATGAGCCCATGCTTTGTTCATCCGTGTAACAAAATAATATAGACACGTTCTAATAAGTCAAATGTTTCACGGTATTACATTATAAAAAGAATTAAAACAATATTATATATATATAAAAATACAATGGTTTTTTTTTTTTTTTTTTAAAAAAAAGAGGAATTATTTCAATAAATTACAATAATAAAAAAAAAAGGGTTTTTTTTAGCTTCTCTCTCTTTTTTTTTTTTCAGAATTCCAAATAAAGAAAAAAAAAAGGGGGGGGTTGGTGGTACTATGAGAGGGTGTGCGTGAAGGGGTTTGGGGGGGGGGGGGACAGGTTAGCTTAGAGAACAAAGTAACCAGCCACGGCAGCAGAGACCAATGTAAGAGCAGGCTTCACCATGGAACCAGCACTGATTGCTGGGGTAGAAGCAGCAGCAACTTGAGCAACAGTAGGTACAGGAGATGAAACAGGAGAAGCATTGGCAGCCTCTTCAACGACAGGTGAAGAAGAGACAGCAGCAGCAGCAGCAGCATTGGCAGCAGGAATGACGGTTTCAGTGCTATTAGCAGCAGGAGTAGCAATGGCACTGGAAGAAGCGGAGGCGGAGGCGGCTGTGGTATTACCACTAGTAGCAGTGGCAAGGGCACCAATACCCCAAGGGATCTTGTCACCATTGGGTTGAACCTTTTCCTTTTCAGCAACGAGTTGACCGTCAGCACCAACAATGGCGAAACGAGTAGTCCATGCAGAGACCTTATCAGAGCCTACAATAGTCAATGAAAAAAAAAAAAAGTTAATTCGATATGCAAGTGTTATAAATCTATACATATATTTTTACCAGTGAACATGAAAAAGTAAACGGCAGAATGAGGTGTAACTTGAGGTGCAACAAAAGTATATTTTAAGAGGGCTGGATCGACTTTCTAATAAATAATAATTAAAGTCAATATTTGTATTTGGGGTTGAAAAGGGGGTTTAAGAGAGAAAACTTCTTAAAAGGTAAATATTTACAGTAGCCACAGTAGATAAGACGGTTTGCACATCATTCGAACCTGTCATGAAATCTATACATATTTGTTATTAATCATGTAAATGCGGCGTTTATTGTTGTTGTTGTTGTTTTAATTTACCAATTTGATATGTGGTAGAAGGGTTCTTTCCATCAAAAGCTACACATAAAAGAGAGAGGTTAGTTTCTTGTTTTGGGTCAAAATAAGAAGATAGAAATTACTCCATGTGATTTCGTAAGTTTGACCCTCAGTTTGAATGGTTCCAGGTGAAGGATAAGAAGGAGAAACAGCAGCTTCAACAGTGATAAAAGCGGCAATGAGAGCCACTGAACTAGTAAGGAATGTCTTTAAAGAAACCATCTTTTTTTGTTGTTGTTGTTATTGTTGAAAATAAAAAAAAGGAGAGTGAATAAAAAAAAAAAAAGAAGAAGAGAGAGAGAGAGAGAAAGAGAAGAAAAAGGGATGAAAAGCTGAATTAAATAGTTCTCTTTCTTTTTTTTTTTCACCCTCTCTTTTTTTGTTTGACGCAGGCGAGGTAAAAAAGACAAAAGAGGCAAGCTGCTTGTGGGCAACTGCTGTATTTGCCAAAACTAAAAAAGTTTTTTTTTTTTTTTATTCTAAGCGGGGATTCGTACAACACGAAAATTATTTTTAACATTAAAAAAGTTTATGAATAGAAATTGTTTATTTTTTGCATTATTTGGTTTTTTTGCGCCCTTTTTTCCCGACACGAATTTAACTGCGCTTTTTTTTTTTATATGTATATATTTTTTCAAGCCTCGGCTGAAATAAATTATTTAATTGTGAGAGAGAGAGAGGACGCAGTAATGGATTATGCACATGGTAAAAAATGTCTATCAAGAAAGAACCCCCCCCCATTCAGATATCCCCTTTTTTATTTTTGGTTCTTAAGACTTAAATCCTTGTCCAAAATAAGTGGTTGTTTTCATGGTACCTGCATCACTTTTCACAATTTTTTTTTTTTTAATTGCTTCTAAATACACTAGCTGTTTCTAGTTTTCCCCTTCCCTCAAGCGTAACATTAAGTTTTTTTTTCTGTAGATGCAGAAAAATAAAAAAAAAGTCTATCCCCTCGTGAACAATTTGAGAAAACTAAGGGGGGGGGGGGAGCGCGTGCGGATTATGTGTGGGCAGTAATCAAAAAAAGTATTCTTTCCCTCCTTTTTACCCTTTTCTTTTTTTGTTATCCCTACATTTTTTTTCTGTGCAAGTGTCTCTTGTCAGATTGTTTGTTTCCCAACTAACATTATTTCTTTTAAACACGACGTAACAATGGTTCTCGGTACACTTTGTTAAATCCTATTCTTTTTTTTTTCATCTAAACAATCAAATCCGAGGGAGGAAAAAGGACCACTCTCATAAACAATGGTAGCTTACACAAGTTCTTATTGCAAACAATAACAATAAAACAGAAAATATACAATAAGACACAGAATCTGCTCTCTTTAAAAAAAAAGGGGGGGAAGCCTTCTCTTGTGCGTATTCTTTCCTCGGTGTGTATTTAACAGTAATAAATCTATCCTAGTTCAACATTGTTGAATCTATAAGGTACAGTCATATTGAATTTATTAATGGTGCAACATTAATTTGATCTGTAAGTGATGGAATTTAGCTATAATCAAAAAGAGAGAAAAAAAATTTACTTGGCCTTTTACCCTTAAAAAAGAAATGGTTGTAAAGAAAGTATCCCATAAGAAACTTGTTATGCGACTAAAAAGACTTAAATAGTTAAAAAAAAATTAAAGGGGTGATTTATGTATTGGCAATTTCTACCAATGGTCCATGATTTATTATTTTTATTCTAAAAGCATCCAACTTGAACTCTCTTGTCAATAAATAATTTAGGTTCCCTCCCTCCCCCCCTTTTTTTTTATGTGTATATGCAAAAATAAGAAATTCACATCTGTGACTCTTTTTATTAAATCTATATAAAAAGGTGCTAAAAAAAGAGTTTTTTTTTTTTTTTTTTTTGTACTTGTCTAAAAAAAGAGGTGAGTGGTACCTTTTTTTTATTATTATTATTAAAGAGATCTACCACCATGATATTAAGAAAACGTTTTTTTTTCTTTTTTTCATGCAATTTGAGAAACCTCCGAATAAAACTCCGACTCTGCTGCTGCTGCTGCTGCTGCTGGTAAACGAAGAGAGAGTTGTATGGAGGAGGGTGAGATTCCCACGCTGCTTCGCCATATTGGCGTCACGCAGCATGTTTATATAGCAACGCCACTTTGGGGTTTTTTTTTTTGTATAAAGATATGAGTTGAATTGATGTTAATTCAAATATTTCGGAAGGCAAGCCGATAAAAGCACGAGCAAGTCTTTTCTGCCCCCGCTAAAGAAGAGAGAAAGGTGTTTCATCATTTCTCTTGTGACGGAAAATTCCATCTTATTGATTGGCTGAGGTTTAAGGCTCAGAGAGTAAAGAGCAGAGAGAGGTCTCGACTCCTAAACAAGTATTGATTGGATAAGGAAAACACGTGTAGTTAAATATATATATGCTAAAACATGGTTTTTTTTTCTCAAGTTTATTTTTATTTATTTTTTTGGTATGTACAAAGAGAGAAGGGGGAGAATATTATGCTGTAAAAAAAGAAAGAGATGGATGCAAGAGAGTATTAAATTTATCTATGAGCAGAGAAAGGCCTTGTTTAATTGGTCCATGAAATGATCTTTGGAGACTCTGCGTGGTTTTGGTTGATATAAGATAGTAGAAGATGCTAAGGATGAAGAGATGGAGGATGATAATGATGGAGAGAGAGAGGGTATCTTTTGTGATGATTGGATAAAATCACTGTGTTGTAGAGATGGCTTTCTTCGAATGAGTGAAGGCATATTCTGTTGTTGCTGCTGTTGCTGTTGTGATGGTGATACGTCATGAGGAAATCCCTTGAGATCAGCATAGTCATAACCAAGCATTGGGTGGTGCATCAAAGCGTCTTGTCGAAGGCAGTCTTCTGAACAATAGAGAGAGTCGGAATAGGCGCTAATAGCATTATCGCAAAAGGTACACCAGTTTGTATCGCACATCATTTTTCGGGTTTTTTGTTATTATTATTGTTATGTAGAGTAATTGAAGGGATATAGAAGCATACAAAAAAGTAGTATATCTTTTATTTTTTTTTTAGTAAGAAAGAAAAAGAAGAGCGGAAAGGAATATACTCTCTTTTATACTAAAAAAAAAAGTAATGTAGATCATATAAAGTTAAGTTTCTTTTTTTTTAAGAGTATCACTTTTTCCGGGCATCCAGACCTGGATCCGTATCATTTTTTTTCCGTGGCACAGCCCAAATGATTGGCTAGCAACTTTTATTGCCCAATGATTGACCAGCTATTTCAATTCTTTTTGCGTCATATAATTCATACTCCGATCTAGCCGTTTTTTTTTCTTTTTTAAAATGTGCTGGATTCCCTCACCATGACTGGAACAAGTATTAACAAATGATTACGTATTGCAGCGAATTACGTATGGTTTCTATTGCATGCTAAAAAACCTTTTTTTTGACAAGAGAAAAAAATAACAGGTCATTTCCCCATTTTTTGTTACCCCCCCTCACTTACTCAATTACACACCTAGGCGCTCTCCACACACACCCTTTTTTGTTGCACAATTTAATTTCTATCAGCCAAAAAAAAAAAAAAAATGGAGTCAGGTACCTTAAACACACTTGGAAGGATAATCAAAATATTTGGGGGTTTTCTCCCCCTGAAAACATCCAAGAACAAAAAAAAGAAAAAAAGGCTTAAAGTTCTCAATTAAAGGACATGATGGCGATAACGGCGAAAAAAAAAAAAAGATAAAACGTTGCAGATCTTTTTGAAAAAGTCCGTGTTTTTTTTTCATCATTTCCCAAAGAAATGATTCCATCTATTATTTTCACACTCCTATACAACATCCAAACCGCATTGCTGCGTGTGAAAAAAAAAAAAAAGGCTTTCCTATTTTCTTTTTTAGACAAAAAAAGGTCTGGGTTCATGTTTACAAGCTAGTTTTTTTTTTTTTTTTATTTGGTCCAGCCATGTTTCTATTATTATACATGTGTGTCCTTTATAACTTTTTTCAAACACTTTGATCATCGGCATCCCAAAAAATAAAAAAAAAGGCGGGGTGGGAGAAAATCGATACATGTCGTGATTCAATCAAGGAGAACATGTTTTTTTCATTCATGGATACAGTACGTAGGATACAGAGTTGAATCCTCTCCACCTTCACTTTCTAAACAAATAAATGATATTTCTATGCAGATCCTTTTGTTTTTACCCCATCTCACGTCCTCCCTTCATTGATGAGATGACACAATCTATAACATAGTTTTCTTAAGCATAGGTAGACGTGTCAAGAGAACAAAGAATATATAGAACAGCATAGATAGACTTGTAAAGAGAACAAAGAATATTTATAGAAAGAGTAGTTTTGTCAGTTAAAAAGTCAGTGCGTTTATAATTGTATGTATTACTGAAAAAAAAAAAGAGTCTGTTCTGATGCTACTCCGGGTGGGGGTGGGGCATTCTAAAGACAATCATTTAAAGGATTTATTCTGTTTTAAACTGATTCATTCATAAGATGATGATGCGTACTTGAGATTAGATGTGAGTCTGCAAAAAAAAAAACATCAAAAAAAGACTGCAAACCGTAAAGTAGAAATCAATAATACAATGATGTATTGTCCATTATTTAATGCAGATGGGTGACATACAAGATAGTTATTGTCTTAATCACTTTATTTTTCTGTCTGCTTTAGCAAAAAAAAAAAAGGGTATTGAACGCGTATGAATGAGGACTAATGCGTATCTTTGGTTTCTGATCAGTCAATAGAAAGACTATCTGTTTAATGAAGGGAGGGGGGATGATTCATTACTGTGAAGCTCATTTCTGACAGGGGAAAACTACTATCTTTCTATACAGAAACAAGCACTGACTCAAATGATACTCTTGCGACTTAATGTCATAATTGACTGTTTACAGCAGCGTTTTAATAAATGTGATTTAGAATAAAGACAATACAAAGCAATTAGGATTTTATGGGCTATTACTGATAGAGCTTTACTAAACATGATGTTGTGGCGTTGTAGTTTTTAATTATTTAGCATATCACGATCATTCAATCACTTTTGTGCCAAGGAATTATGCATGACGTATTTATAAAAAAAAGTTGGCTCGTCATCCTAATTCTTAAGAGTTTAGTGAGCTGCGTATGCTGGGGTTGAAAGGAAAAGAGGGGGAAACCCCATGAAAAAAAGTACTTTCTGTAATACACACACAAGGATGAACTTTGTCACCGATTGAAATGGAGGTTGGAATAAGGGCCGATGAAATACCGTTTGATTATAGGTTATAAGTGTGCGGTAATCAAAACGTAATTTTTTTATACTTTTAGGCCGTTGCCCGTTTCGCCTCCCTTTATAGGTTTGCCCGTTTACTTTAAAGGAACTAGATGACCGCTCTCCGGAGAAAGGCGCGTAAAAAAAAAAAAAAAAAAAAAAAAAGGAAACGCAGATGCTGCTTTGAATGAATGAATAAAATAGAAACATCCCCTCCCCCCTTTTTTTTTTTTTTTAGGTTTTCATGCATAGACTGTGTGATATATTATATAAAAAAGGGCAGTTTGTTAAGGTAAATAATAGCCTCATATTGTGTGGCAGTGATAAGAGATGAGCGGATGAAAGTAAGAAAAAGGTAAAGTAGCACAAATGGTTTTGCCAAGCTTTTTTTTTTTTTGACTTTGATAAAATACGCGTATAATCGTACACTGACTATAAAATATAAGTGATTTTATTGTTTTATTAGATTTTCGATTTTTCACAGACGAAAAATAAAACAAAAGGTTCTCACACGTGTGATGATAAACACCTTTTTTTTTTTTTTTTCGCGTTTCATTAAGAAAGTTTTATTACAAACTGACGTTATGATAGTTACACCATGTTTAAATTTAGTCATAAGAGCGAGAAATTCCGACTTTATTTTTTTCGGCTTGTGTGGGAAAGAGAGAGAGAAGGGAGGGGAGGGGGGCTAGAATACGCCACAGCAAAAAAGGAAGAGTAAATACATGCCCGTCTTTTTTTTGGCTGTTGTTGTTGTAATGGAGCTATAGAATAAAAGAGAAATAACCTGTCATCATGATGTAATGAGTTTTTTTTTTTTTATAAGGCTAAAAACGAAAATCCCCTTCTTACAAAAAAAACGTCATGATGAACTAGGTCGGCCAATCAAAAGAGTGGGTTTAAAGTAAACTCGGACGATTGGCTTTATTTAGTAAATGTAACTAGTTTATGCAAAAAAGAAAGGGGGCCGAGAAAAAAAAGTATATAAAGGAGTTCGTGTTTTCCGAGATATTTTTTTTTTTTCTTTATTAAATATACTCATATTTTCTATCTATAAAATCAAAAATGTTCTCTTCTCACTCTGCTCCCCAAGGTGTTCTCACTGTTACTGTTGTCGAAGCTCGTAACCTTCACAAGGAAGATCTCGGTGGTCACAACGATCCCTATGTTGAACTCTGGTTGGATGAGGAATACAAGCAACGTACCTCTACTGTCAAGGATACCGAAAACCCCGTCTTCAACGAGACTTTCACTTTTAACATTGCTGAAGGTAGCAGCCTCCACAAGCTCGAATTCAAGGTCATTGATAAGGATGTTGCTGGTACTGACAAGATTGGTGATGGCAAGTTAGATATCTCTGAAGCTCTTCAAGGTCAACCCATTGATACTTGGGCCAAGCTCCCTGCCAAGTTGGGTCTTACCAGCCATGGTGAAGTTCACTTTGTCATCCAATTCTCTCCCCAATAAATTCCCCCCCTCCTGGATGCTATAACCACTGTATAAAAAAAAACAATACCACTCTATGCTTTAAATACATAGCTATATTATAAAAAAAAAAATACCTTTTTTTATCAAATAAATAAAAAAAACAACCCCTAAAAGCTCTCTTTGAGTTTTTGCTTTACAATATAATACAACCAAGTGTGAGTGTGAAAAATATATTTTTTAAAAAAAAAAAAAAGTACGCGCGTTTATTGTGTCATATAAAAAAAAACTTGAAACGTGCTAGATTTATTGGAGTCCCCCGAACCCTTTTTTTTTTTTTGTTATTTTGTCATGATGATAGTACTATAAAACACTTGTGGAAAGGGCTTGGTTTTAACTGAGACAATGTTTCAAGCTAAATGTGTTTGTTTTCATGCAATGGATGTGTTTATATAATCGCGTTCATATTGCAATGTATAAGTATTTCGTCTGCACTTTTTATTGTGTAGTTCGCGTTTTTTTTTTTTGTTTTTGTTATTGTTATTGTTGTTTGAAAAGTGCATCTGTACACATGACCCCCTCTAGACGCTATTAAAATGTATATAAAGCTTGTCCCCCACCCAAACACACAAAAAAGAAATCTAGAACATTCACTAAAGAGAATCTTTTCTTTTTTTTACTGCTCATTCACACTACTAATGATTGAATGGTTTAAAAGCCTGTATGTATCAGTTTATAGACTAGAAAGCAATTTTTGGTTTTGTTTGTTAGCGCGTATCGATAATAGAATAATCTTGTACCTCTACAAAAAAAATTATGTTAAAAGGTTTAAAAAAAGATGGGTTGTAGTGTATTTAGTTACTGGCTTTCAATTTGCATTGTGATTTTTTTTTTTGGACTTGTCATTTTGTGTGTGTGTACAGTTAGGCTTATGACAAAAATTGATCGGATTGGGCTATCCTTTTTTGCCTCTTTATAAAAATGTAATAATTATAATGACTATGTTTTTTTTTTTATGAAGATGGACAAAACAACCTTTTCGACGAACATGGAGAAAAATTTTACGATCCAATGAAAGATGTTTTAGCACAAATGGACGATCCCACTATAGTACTTAAGACGAAATTAACCAATCGAGAGTGTTAGAACGCCCCCCCCCCCCCGAAAAAAAAAAAGCTACTGGTGAACCATCAGTTACGAAGTCATTAAGATCTAGTCATTTGACTATGAATCAACCAAGAAATACAAGAGAATCGTTTATCGACCGTATGTTTAGTGGCTAAAGTTACAAGAGAACTCAACAGTGGAATTACCGTACTGCAGAAACGGAAGGAGTCCAAAAAGCTTATTTTACAACTGAGCCATAACAAGTACAATTACCAAGTTACTTTGACAACGACCCTCAGAAGATAGAATAAATAGCTTGACTGAACAATTGAAAGGCTTCACCAATTCAAAAATCACAAATGAACAACCATTTTATGTCATACTAAATGGTTATACACTGCAAAAAAAAAAAAAAAAAAAAAAAAAAAAAGAAGCCATATATTTCAAACCTGAAGTTAGAAACTCAGTAGAGAATCTCCAGACACGATTCGAAAATGGTTTATGAGACTCAATTGGGCCAGATTGAAAAAAAAAGTGGAGCAAAAAGGCCATCGTAAAGCAACCATAAAACCAGAGCAACCAACACATACAATCATTGATGTCATTCACTCCTCTAATATTATTCACGTTGCTATCGGAAAACCAGCACCACCAAAAAAAAAAAGAGAAAAAAGGCTAATAATGGGGAAAAGAAAAAAGACCAGTAACTGAGAATACAGAGGTTAACGACGATTAAGTTGATAATAATTCAGTAAAAAAAAAAAAAAAAAAAAAAAAGGTACAACAACTGCTCTCTTTATTAAGTTCATGAACGAAGTTCTTGCTGTACTGGATGCCCAAGAAGCTTTTTTTTTTTTTAAAAAAAAAAGTTAAATACAGTTCTAGATAATGCTTCTATTCATAAGTCTAAACCGATGATAAGAAAGATTAAAAGTAAGGTTTACAGAGCAATGTATTTGCCTCCCTACTCGCCTGACATAAACCCTATTGAACAGTTTTAAAAAGGAAGCGTAATAGACGAATGAATGAAGAAGTAGTAGGATTACTGATGCTTGTAATGATATACTTCATCAGTGACCTTGAATGGTTTATGTCATCATTATAAACGCCAAATTGTTAATTGCTCTAATTAGACACCTTTCTAATAGAATTTTTTTTTTTTTTCAGTTTGACGTCAGTGGATCGGGAGCACGAGTATTTTAATAAATCTTTAGTGTTTACGATACGACTATTTATCAAATCATGCAACGGTTACTGTACTTGTTTATCAAGTTTAATTGGCAGTAGAACATAATGGCTATAGTTGATCGTTTATTCATTATTTTTATAATGGATAAAATAAAATCTCCAAATATAGAAGTATGTACTCGTAGCAGGAGAAGTTGTACAAGCGCATGCTGCTTATGCAACATCAAAAAGATTGTTCTAATTTTCCTAATTTTTTAATTTATTCGTAAGTGAATTGTACCCAAATACGAAAATGTCATTTTTCCCTACTCGTTTGTTGATATAACTGCATAGAATTTTGGATGCAATGACTGACAGGTTGACATCACCTGGCCTTTCATCTTGGTAGTACTTAAGCGGGTGCGAACCTTGAAAGCCATGATTAGAAAATACAGTTGATTGAAACCCTGCGAAATATGAAGCATTTGGTTTACTGTAATCTCTCAATAATCTGTAAAAGCATCTTGAATCCTTGGGCTGGTGTAAAGCATTTAGCATGTATTGAATTCTTGAATGGTATTAACAGGAATCGAAGAACCTAAAAATTCTCCTAACAAAGTATCCCTGTATTCCCATATATTCCTCCTGTAGCAAGAATTTGAAAATGACCTGCTTGGATGGTAAGCTCAGAGTAAAACTCTTCCTTGATTCTTATCTTTTGATATTTTGATAGAAAATTTATCAAGTTCGGCTGGTTCCATGTCATAGCTGCAGGAATCAATATCCTTCCTGTTTGGAAGGAATTCGCCCACTTCGGTTAATAAGAGCCAGTTGTTCATGTTCCTATCGATTCGAATAGAGTGTACAAATCTCTCTCCCACGGGTTTAAACACTTTTTCTTCAATAATCTCTTTGTGTATAATATAAAAAAGAGATTCTGAATATAGGAATCCCAGTAATCTGTTCATGCTTGCTTTTTTAGATAACGAGGAAGCTTGTGATATTACAGCGGATTCAGATTGAATAACGATAAATCCGTTCCGGACTGTCCGGTTTTAATTGAAAAACATGCGCTTGAATATTTCAAACATTCTGCTTGAAATCACACGCCGGCATGGGGTTGGGCAACGATGTGAAAAAAAGACTGTTGGACCCAAACAGTTATACCAACGACACCATGCTTCGGGTTATCTTGTCCTTTATGATCGGTACAACGTGAAGCCACAACACGACCATCCAAGTGCAGTCCGTGCGTCAAGTTGCTTATCGTTTCAAAGCCACAGTCATTAGAATGATGTCACCAAGATCGCAAGTGGATTTAATAGACTGCCAAATTGAGAGAACTGAGCATGATCATACGTAATCCTATCATCCAAAGTCAATGCTTCACTGAATTCGACATATGTATCAAATGGGTTTAAGAACTTGTTGAGCGAATCTGGGAAAACTGATACTGCCAGTTTTGCTCCTTTGGCTATCAAACATGATCCTTTTTACTGATTCAGTTAGCATGATTTTCTGCTTTTTTTGATCTCAGTGAGGCGTTTCAATTAAAATCAAGTGCCCTTTTTGCCGATGTTGACGGGTTGATTGTCTGTATCTTCTTCATTCTTGTAAAGTGATATCACTATTTTGAGCGAAATACTTTCGTTCCCAAAACGTGAAAACCCGTTTTGCTTGGGAACGGCCTTGAAAGCATGAATCCATATATTCTGATTATATTTCATTATAAAGTATTTCAATAAAAGTCTCTTCCCGCGAGAGTTTGCATTGATGCTTCAATGAACCATTCTATTTTCTTCTTGACAAGTAATTTATAAAGATTTGAATTATCTAAGGAATATCAAAGTTTAATAAATCATTAGCTGCTAATGGCAGATATTTTATGGCTAATCGATGCCAATGTAGATGACAAGATTCCTACTTACAATTACAGAAATTAATGTGTCTATCGACTTCGTCGTCATCAGAGGTAATCTCTGGAAAAAACCGATAAATGAACATGGAACTTTTTACCATTTGGAATCAAGTCATATGCTGATATCCAGTTCACATATTGCTCTCTTGGTAGAACTAACTTGATGTATTTGTATTTATTCATCAATACTTGCAAGAACGTCTTCTCATTGGGCTTGACATTTTCCTGTTTTTATGATGAGCGATTTAACGCGATCAAGGATTGATGCGAGACAATAGATATGCTTGACCTTTACTGCTTTGGAGGTATTGAAATAATCGATAATAACGTTGACCACTGAGTGCTGAAAAATACTTTGTGTCTTTACGTTTTGATTTTCTGAGATAGTCTTATGCAGTTTTTCGAGTTGCTCTTCATTTACAATGAAGTCTCTCTTTAGTTTGATACTACAGACTATACGTTTCATACATTTAGAGACTAATGTAAGGTTCATGAAACATGACCAGTCTAAATAATTCAATATCTGCGATAAAATGTGATTTGGTATTCTTATTAAATAATCAGTCATCTTAAGCTGAAAGAGGTGCTGTTTTCTGACAAATTTAATAAGGGCCAAGTACACATTTGTTTTTTAAAAAAAAAAAGAGAGACAATGTCTACACCTACGTATGTTTGTAAATTTTTCTTTGTATTTTTTTTTAGGTTACGTGATCCATTCTTTTTCTTACATACTTTTGGTCTTTGAAAAGACATAAAGGGTGCAGCATAAGTGGGAGTTTTGGCGCCAGTGAAATACCACTAACTTTGTCGTTTTTAGCCTTGTACAAACGACGACCCACTCGATTTTCTTTCCCAGTGTTTACAACTGGTAACGGGGAAGTATTGCTTATAGTGAAAAGACTAGCCGTAGCCGTGATAATTAAAAGTGAGAGTATATCTTTTTTTATAAATAAAAAAAGAAGGTAATATTTTAGCGTTTTTATAAAAATCAAAAGTTGTTATTAACTAACCTTTTCCCAGTTTTATTACTTCTCTTTAAAAGGTGGTGTTATATAGGATATGAATAAAAAAAGAAGATAAAGAGAAGAAAGGAAGGAAAAAAAAATGTTTAAATGGGTTTTATTTGTAGGCTGATAAACAAGAGCTTATGTCAGAATGATTTAATTGCTTATTCAATCATCCAAAGTGTTTGAGCCTTTACTTAAAATAGAAACACTTGCAAAAACCTCCCAAGCAATTCAAGACTTGTTAGTTGTCTATCTGCGTTTCAGTAGTAGCTTGTAATGACAGTGAGGCAGATTTTATGGAATAACAAAAATCGATCATCCTATGAAGTTTAGACGATAAATGGCATGTCAATCGACGTAAAGACTTATGTGTAGACCATCACGTGATTCTAAAAATACGCTTGACTTTGCCCAATTGTTTTCTCATGAGAGGTTTTTTTTTTTTTAATAATGGAGGCAAAAGGTTTTTACTGATGCTGGGGTTGGTACCAATACAACATCTATCTATCCAAGGAAGAAGGCAGTCTTTAATTTGGTTTCCGTTACAAACAATGTCTTACACTGTTACTAACGTGAAATTTGTATAAATGCTAGCTAAAGACGACGCAAACAATAAGGAAACTTACAAATGTTTCTATAGCTACGGTTTTAACACTGTTCGGTCCTATCTCTGTACCAAGTAAGGTCATTCCTCACGAAAAGGCCAAAGGAAAACTCAGACGTCATTCTTTTTTTATTCGGGTATTTAAGAAATTTTTTTAAAAAAAAAAATCTGCGTTCTTTTAGTTTACCTGTTTGTTTTTAGCAGCTCTCCAAAGCTGAATGGGTCAGCAATGACCTGTACTTCTTTAGACTAGGTGTTCCCCTATTGACCTCACACTTTTTTTTTTATTATTATTATTCTTTTAGTTGGCCAGTCTAAGTTATCACCATGTAGCCTCTTCTCTGGTAACTGTTTCTAGCAGCTCTCCGAAGCTGAATGGGTCAGCAATGACTTGTACTTCTTTGGACTAGGTGTTCCCCTATTGACTTCACACTTTTTTTTTTATTATTATTATTATTCTTTTAGTTGGCCAGTCTAAGTTATCACCATGTAGCCTCTTCTCTGGTAACTGTTTCTAGCAGCTCTCCGAAGCTGAATGGGTCAGCAATGACTTGTACTTCTTTGGACTAGGTGTTCCCCTATTGACCTCACACTTTTTATTTTTATTATTATTATTCTTTTAGTTGGCCAGTCTAAGTTATCACCATGTAGCCTCTTCTCTGGTAACTGTTTCTAGCAGCTCTCCGAAGCTGAATGGGTCAGCAATGACTTGTACTTCTTTGGACTAGGTGTTCCCCTATTGACTTCACACTTTTTTATTATTATTATTATTATTCTTTTAGTTGGCCAGTCTAAGTTATCACCATGTAGCCTCTTCTCTGGTAACTGTTTCTAGCAGCTCTCTGAAGCTGAATGGGTCAGCAATGACCTGTACTTCTTTGGACTAGGTGTTCCCCTATTGACCTCACACTTTTTAATTATTATTATTATTATTCTTTTAGTTGGCCAGTCTAAGTTATCACCATGTAGCCTCTTCTCTGGTAACTGTTTCTAGCAGCTCTCCGAAGCTGAATGGGTCAGCAATGACTTGTACTTCTTTGGACTAGGTGTTCCCCTATTGACCTCACACTTTTTAATTATTATTATTATTATTCTTTTAGTTGGCCAGTCTAAGTTATCACCATGTAGCCTCTTCTCTGGTAACTGTTTCTAGCAGCTCTCCGAAGCTGAATGGGTCAGCAATGACTTGTACTTCTTTGGACTAGGTGTTCCCCTATTGACCTCACACTTTTTATTATTATTATTATACTTTTAGTTGGCCAGTCTAAGTTATCACCATGTAGCCTCTTCTCTGGTAACTGTTTCTAGCAGCTCTCCGAAGCTGAATGGGTCAGCAATGACTTGTACTTCTTTGGACTAGGTGTTCCCCTATTGACCTCACACTTTTTATTTTTATTATTATTATTCTTTTAGTTGGCCAGTCTAAGTTATCACCATGTAGCCTCTTCTCTGGTAACTGTTTCTAGCAGCTCTCCGAAGCTGAATGGGTCAGCAATGACTTGTACTTCTTTGGACTAGGTGTTCCCCTATTGACCTCACACTTTTTTTTTTATTATTATTATTCTTTTAGTTGGCCAGTCTAAGTTATCACCATGTAGCCTCTTCTCTGGTAACTGTTTCTAGCAGCTCTCCGAAGCTGAATGGGTCAGCAATGACTTGTACTTCTTTGGACTAGGTGTTCCCCTATTGACCTCACACTTTTTTTTTTATTATTATTATTCTTTTAGTTGGCCAGTCTAAGTTATCACCATGTAGCCTCTTCTCTGGTAACTGTTTTTGGCAGCTCTCCGAAGCTGAATGGGTCAGCAATGACTTCACTTTTATTTTTGGAATCAAGTCTTGTACCTTCACGTGGTGATTCTGTTAATCGAAGCTTATTTCGAGACTGAACAAGACAATTATCTCTTCTTAGTTTTATTTTTACTCTATTTTACCTTACAGTATGAATTCTTTCAAAGTATGGAAATTCTATACAACGTCGCCAGCCACTCTGAACGACAGAAAAATAAACATTATTTCTAGGCCAATTTGATTAGCTTGCCCACTCGCGTTTTTTACTGCTCATTCACTACTAACGAGTGAATGGTTAAAACATGTATATAGCAGTTTATAGGCTAGACGGCCCTTTTTTGTTAGCGCGTAACGATAATAAATTAGTATTGTACCTCTGCAAAAAATTATGCTAAAAGGTTTAAAAAAGATGGGATGTAGTGTATTTAGTTACTGGCTTTCAATTTGCATTATGATGTTTTTTGACTTGTCATTTTTGTGTAAGCACACTTCCTTTTTTTTTTTTTTTTTTTCTTTTTTCTAAAGAGCAGAAAAATCGCCATGAAGAAAGAAAAGGCAGACATATTGTATGACTGTGCACTATGGGTGTTCAATATTATGCTTGATATTTTCTTTCGTGAAATTCGACCCAGAGGCTCTCATAAAGTGCCATTGGAAGGACCACTGATCTTTGTGGCTGCACCTCATGCGAATCAAGTAAGAGTTCTTTTTTATATATAAAAGCTTTTTTTTATTTTTTTGACAGGGTAACTAAAAAGGAAGGGAGTGTTTGTAGTTTGTGGATCCTTTGATTGTAATGAGAGAATGTAATCGTAGAGTGTCCTTTTTGATTGCAGCCAAGTCCATGAAGCAACGGTTTGTTGGCTTTCTTGCTGGCCTGTTCCACCCAAGTAAAAAAAAAAAAAAAAAAAAAAATCCACACCCTGTGCAAGATAAAATTGTAACTCAATTTTTTTTTTTTCCTTATAGTCCCTGTCATGCGTCCTCAAGATCTCGCCGAGACAGGTATTGGACGAATTCATCTATTAAATCCAAAGACAGAACCACTTCGGATCACGGGTATTGACACGAAATTCACCAGCCAATTGAGTGCGATGGATTCGATTATTTTACCGCGCAACGCAGCTAAATTACTCGTAGTCCAAGTGGTGTCTGATACCGAACTTTTGATTCAGACCGCTGTCAAGGATCGTAAGGCCCTTGATTATCTAATGAAATCGGGTGGTACAGCCTACAAGTGTTTACCTCATATTGATCAGGACAACGTGTACGAAAAGGTCTATTCGGAACTCAATGACGGACGATGCATCACTATCTTTCCTGAGGGAGGTAGTCATGATCGAGCCGAGATGTTACCCTTTAAAGCCGGCGTCACCATCATGGCCTTGGGCGCCATGGCGAAATACCCAGGTTTGGATGTCAAAATCGTACCGTGTGGCTTAAATTATTTTCACGCTCATCGATTTCGATCCAGGGCTGTTATTGAATTCGGCAACCCTATCACCATCTCGCAGGAGATGGTGGAACAGTTCAAGAGGGGTGGACAAGAGAAGAGAGACGCTTGTGCTCGTTTACTGGATACCATCTTTTATGCCTTGAAAAGTGTTACGGTGAATGCCGCCAATGATCAAACCCTCATGGTGATCCAGGCCGCTCGTCGACTGTATAAACCTGCCCATCGAAAGTTACACATTGCCCAGGTCGTGGATTTAAATCGTCGTTTTGTCATTGGTTATAATCTGTACAAGGATGATCCAAGAGTCATGGAATTACAGCAAAAGGTATTGGCTTATAACCAATTATTAACCTATCATGGATTAAGAGATCATCAAGTGCCTGAGATTAATTTAAGAGGTTGGAGAACCTTTGGTTTGTTATGGTACCGTGTGGGTGTCTTGATCGTCTGGGGTCTTTTATCGTTTCCTGGGTAAAAGACATATGAACAAAAATGAAGCGAGTCAAATGTATTTAAAAAAAAAAAACCAAAAAAAAAACGTCATTTTTAAATAGATCCATTCTCAACCTCCCAATTGCGATTATTGCCAAGGCCATTAGTACGAAAAAAGCAAAGGATGCATTAGCTTCTTCGAGTGTAAAGATTGCGGGAAGAGATGTATTGGCTACCTGGAAGTTTTTGGTGGGTCTTGTTCTGATACCTTTGCTCTATGGTTTGTATACTCTGATTGTACTTTGGATCTGTATCAAATCCGAATTAGGCTGGTTCCAACGTATTTTATTCCCCATGTTGACCTGGACATTTTTACCATTTATCAGCTATGCATCTATGCGATTTGCAGAGAATGGCGTGGATGTATTCAAGTAAGTAACTTTAGTTTTAAATGGATCTTCCCTCTCTCTCACTGACCCCATTTTTTAAAAAAAAAAAAAAAATAGATCGCTTCGACCTCTTTATGTAGCCCTTGTAGATCCAGACAGTACGGAAAACCTACGCCAATTACGAGAAAAATTATCGCAAAATATCACAGAAGTGATTAACGAGATTGGGCCGCAAGTGTTTAGTGATTTCGATTCGAACAATGTGTTTCGATCAGATTCGACAAGTCAGGAGAGTGTATCAGAATTGGCAGAAGGAGGTAGAACGTTTTCGCAAATCGCGGGCGAATTTTTGACAGGTACGGCCAAGGCCTTATTGGACGATAGCAAGATCTTCAATTGGACAAAACAGGATGAAGAGTCGGACCCGGATGAGGTGCTTTATTTTTTGGATAGGTCAGGTACCGCGAATAATTCGGCTGCTACTAGTGATGCTGAAAGTGGGCCTGTCATCAGTCCTGTGAAAAAGAGAAATCATAGTAAATTAAGGGAATAATAATCATCATTAAAAAAAAAAAAAAAAATAGAAATAGACATAAACGCAGCTTCTTCTTTTACCGTCGTGTATTTCTTATTTGTCCAATAATCATTCATGATAAAAAGGTTGGTTGGTAATCATCCAATGTCTGTCATTTAAATCTGGGTTCAGATAAAAAATAGAGCCTTTTTCTTTTTTCTCTTTTTCTATCTAAACCTTTAAGAAGAAATATGGCTGCTAGACTCTTCTTAAGAACGGCTATCCATGCGCGTACCCTGACAAGCTCCATGGGAAAAGTGTGTGTGACACGTCCTGTCATGATGAACAAGATGGCTTTGCCTAGCTTGAGCTCTCGCCTTTCTAGCAGAACTTTTACAGTTGCTTTACCTCGCTTCAGTAATGGTGAAGGTAAGTCCCCCCCCCTTCAACATGAATATATCTATATATACATATTTATTGATGCGAAAAAAAAAACCTCTCTGACTAGTTGATTCCGAGCTGGCTCATCAATTGGAAGAAGAAATGCAATTTGAAGAGACGGATGAAAAGAATGAGATCCCCCCTTTTGTTCAAGAATTTTTGGACACTAATTTGTTCAAGGTATAAAACAAGTGAAATGTACAATGACATAAACTCTTACGTTAAAATTTTATTGAAAGATTGAGGATCAACTCGGACATGACAAGGTTATCTTGACGCGTAACTTTGGTACGGAAAAGTAAGTGTAAGCGGATACAAAATGCAAAAAAAAAAAAAAAAAAAAAAAAATTGCATGAAAAAGTAGACTGACATGTAAACAAATATGGAAGGATTCGCGTGATTTTTTCAATCTCTGATATCAATAACACGGTGGAAGAATTTGAGGATGATGAGGAAGAAGAAGCACCTGTTAAACATCATGAAGGAGGTGTAAAGGAAGGGGCTGAAGAAGAGAAAGAGGAGAAGAAAGAAGAGGAGGAGGAAGAGGAGGAGGGATCATTCCCTGTCCGTGCCACTGTGATGGTGGAAAAGGAAGGAAAAGGAAGCCTTGTGTTGAATACAGTAGCTCAAGATGGATACTTACATATTGATGCTGTTAGATACTTTAAAGAGGGACAGATTGCTACGGATGAAATTGCTACCAAGGAAATCGGCGAACAGAGACAGGATCTGTATATGGGACCTGTCTATGAAGAGTTGGGTGAAGATCTTCAAACGACATTTGTAAAGTATTTAGAGGAGCGTGGTATTGATACAGCATTAGCCACATTCTTGCCTGATTATGTTGACTATAAGGAACAAAAGGAGTATGTGAACTGGTTAAAGGATGTGAATGATTTTGTCTCTGCCTAAAAATAAAATACCATTAGTTACAAATACGGGGTTTTATACACACCGGGACCTGAAAAAAAAATTATTGATAGAAATGCTGGTGATTTTTTATCACTTTTTTCTTTTTAACTTTTTTCTTTTTAAAAAACTATTTTTTGCTTCAAAAAATAGTGAATGTCAAATACTCTTGAAAAATAATGGAACCAGATCCTTCATCGTCTTCGTCCTCATCGACCATCTTGAATGTACTTTCTTACATACTTGTTGTGTGGTATTTTTTCATGGTGGTATTGAGTTTGTTTGGACAATATATAGGGTAAGGTACACAGTCAAGGACCGGACAGTCAAACCTGTTGCTAACAGGAATATCTATATATGTGTATATAATACAGACAATCAAGATACCGACACAAGCCTAAGCCGGTATCATCGAAATTGACATTTTCAGAAGCACAAGGTGTATCGATTATTCGACCTTTGAAAGGAGTCGACCTGGAATTGGAAGCCAACTTGCGGTCTTCTTTTGTACAAAAGTATCCAAAGTTTGAAATCATCTTTTCGGTGGCGTCACCTGAAGACCCTGCGATTGAAATTGTAGATGCTCTTATGAAAGAGTTTCATCAAGTGGATAGTCGACTTATTATCGGTAAAGACACGACCTTTTTTTATTATTACTATTTATTTTCTTCGGGGCTGTTCCCATGGCAACTAACTAAATAATATATATATATAAAAAAAAAAAAAAAAAAAAACCTGTCCGTATTTAGGTGATCATCAGGTTGGCATTAATCCCAAGATTAATAATATGGTGGAATCCTATCGCACTGCAAAATACGATATTGTGTGGGTTTTAGATTCAAATGTGCATGTGGATATGGATACACTTGGACGCTCAGTCGATCAATTGATGATACCCGGCATCGGACTGGTTCATCATTTACCAATTGCTGTTCAACCGGCAAATTATGCTGCCGAGATCGAGCAGATCTTTTTGGATACCAATCATGCCAAAATGTATTTGGCTATTAACGGTGTAGGTATTGCGTCTTGTGTGATGGGAAAGTCAAATTTGTATCGTCGTTCCGACTTGGATAAGGTTGGCGGATTAGAAAAGTTTGGTAAATATATGGCTGAGGACAACATTATTGGTGAGGCTTTGTGGCACCAAGGACTTCGACACAGAATGAGCGCTGATACTGCATGTCAAGCCCTTGGTCCTATTTCTCTGAAGGGATATTGTGCTAGACGCGCGAGATGGGTTCGTCTTCGCAAGTACATTGTGACAGCTGCTACATTGGTGGAGCCTTTTACGGAATCTGTGGTATGTGGTGTCATGGGCGCTGTGGGCTCAAGACATGTCTTTGGGACATCGATTCTCGGCTTCTTCTGTGTTCATTGGACTTGGTGGTTTATCAATGATTGTTTCCTTTATCGAACTTTGGTTCGTTCTTCTTCTTTACATACACTCAATGCTCAAAAGCCACTTCGCATCCTGAATTTCTTGCGTGCCTGGATTTCAAGAGAGGTGTTGGCTTTACCACTCTACTTGTACGCTATGGCGGGTACAAAGATTTCATGGCGTGACCAAGAATATAGATGTATCTCGGATGGCACTGCTGTTGCAATTAATGATAAGAATGAAGCTGTTGAGCCTCTCTTAACATCTTGATCTTCTTTTAAAAAAAAAAATTATAATCCAATCTTACATAATAATGTGTACAAATAAATGAGAAGAGGAGGGGAAATATTATTTTACAACCTATTGACCCTTCTAACAATTATACAACTGATAATGGCAATACAAATTATTAGACCTTATTAGACTTATTATGAATGGTTCACTACTGCGTTCCTCCGTCCTTTTCATCCGGTACTTTTTATATGCAATACCAAATGAGCTGTTTCCTTGGTTTGTAAAATCATGCAAATCTCAAGCCTCAAGGGCAACAGAAGTGAGTTTGTTTGAAATATTGTCAGATATATCACTTGTTGATGACTGTTCGAGAAGTTTTCAGTTTTGGCATATGCTTGAGCAAAAACTGTCTCTTTTGCCTACAGTCTCCTCGTATTTATTTTTACCATTGGATAAAAGCGCAAAAGATAAAGATAAAAAAGTTTATTCCCAAACTAGATTTAAACGCGTTCTTCTTCTTCTTCTTTTTTTTTTTTTGGCGCATCAGATTGTTTCTGAGATAAAGAACTACCTGTTTGTTTTATTCTTGTTATGATGCTTTCCACAGTTGACGTTTGCAGCCCCATTGTCTCAGCAACGGTATTGGGTGCTGCGCCGTACCTATTTAGGTAGAAAATACCCCCAATGCCTATCTTCTGTTACTGTTTTATGAATAACACAAGTGTCCTTTGTCAAGTCTGATAAAGACATGTTTTGTTAGGAAAATAAGAGAAAAACAATTTGGATTGAAAGGGGGAGACGTGTTATGAAAGAAAAAAATGCCAAAAATTAGGTTGTAGCCAAAAACTGATTTGGTGTGACTTGTGCTTGTCATACTACTAATCAATCGCCTTTTTTTTTTCAAATTAACGTGTAATATCCATGAATGACAATAAAAACATGTCAAATCAATGAGAAATAGATTTCAGCTGCAAAATGTCATTTTTAAGTGAAGACACAGTTTTTTGTATTTTTTAATTTCGAATATGTGAATGTAAAGAAGACGAGAAATAGCAATGTCACCCACTCCGGAAAAAAAAAAAAGCTTGCTTATTGATAAGAAGAATTGTAATCCTTAGTTTTTGATTTGACTGCTTGTAGCTGAGGAAGCGCATACCTAGTACATACTACATGTTCCAAGTTGACAAAACTGCATCTTTATTAAAATCATTCCCATAATTTTAGCACTATGTACTCCTGATATAATTGATTGTATTAAAATTAGTCTATCAACACAACAACTCCTTGAACAATAAAGGTTTTCAGTAATTACTGATCTAATTCATTATTAAAAAAAAAGAAAAGAAAGGATATGTATCATTCTATGCTGTCTCCAAAACGACAAAAAAAAAAAGACTAAGTATACGATAGGGAGTGACTCTAAATCAGTTTTGTCACTGCTGTCATAAACACGTTTCGTGTCAACCAAGAACAATTGTAAAATAAAATCTTTTTTTTTTTCTCTTTTTTTCCTTTCCCTATAAAAAATGGCACCAGCTACCGTAATTTTGGACAATGGTGCTTACAACATGAAGGTGGGAGTTGCATCCTACGATACAGCACCGAGGTAGCTACTGCAAAAAAAAAACAAACAAAAAAAAATGAATGGCGCTTTTATTGACGAATTCCTTTCCCCCGTAGACTGGTACCTAATGCCATTGTACGCGGTAAAACCGACAAACGCAATTACGTTGGTGATGAGCTGGATCAATGCACCGATTTCTCTTCTTTATATTATCGATTACCGTTCGAAAAAGTGAGTGCTCGAGGAAGGGGAATGCGCGCGCGTCAAGAATGGGGAAATCTAAAACAATGTTGAATAATTGTAGGGACTTTTGGTGAATTGGGGCATTGAACGTACGATTTGGGACCGGGTGTATAAGAATGTAGCGCAAATTGAGCCCAAAGAAAGTCAGTTGATAGTGACCGAACCTTGTTTTAACTTGGGGGCGATCCAAGACAGTTACGATCAAGTGATATTTGAGGAGTATGAGTTTGGAGCGTGTTATAGGACGATTACAGCCGAGCTGTGCTTGTTTAATGAAGTGGGGGGATTATTTGGAGATAAAATAGGGTCGATTCCGGATTGCACACTTGTGGTGGACTCGGGATACTCTTTTACACACATTATTCCGTTCTTGAAGGGAAAAGCGGTGTCAAAGGGAATCAGGCGATTAAATGTGGGTGGAAAGTTACTGACGAACCAGCTGAAAGAGGTGGTATCGTTCAGATCGTACGATATGATGGAAGAGACCTATATTATCAATGATGTGAAAGAAAAATGCTGCTTCGTATCACAAAATGTGTATAAGGATTTGGATATTTGCAAGTAAGGGTAGTTTAAGAATTGGATGAAAAGAAGGAAAAGAATGTTTATGATTGTTTATTATTAGAAAACAACAAAATTCGATTGTCCAAGAATACGTGTTACCTGATTTCACTAATAATACGACAGGACATATTCGGCCCGCTGGAACAAAAGATGTTGGTTGTTCAGAGCAGATTTTGATGATGAACAATGAAAGATTCATGATACCTGAAGTGCTTATGCATCCGTCTGATATCGGTTTGGATCAAGCGGGTATTCCAGAAGCCATCACCCAGAGTGTATTGGCATGTGATCCTTGTAAGATGTGTATACATTTTTATACAAAATATATATATTTGGTTTAACCTGATGTGATTTAGTGATACATGGTTTATTGTATGCAAATATTATGCTTGTGGGCGGTAACGCTAATATACCTGGATATCAGGAACGCATGTAAGTACGACGTAAAAAAAAAAAAAAAAAAAAAAAGTAGTGAGGGTAGATGTATTTAATGATTTTCGATTTGTTAGTGAGCATGAATTACGAAAATTTGTTCCAAGTGAATTCGATATCCGTGTGGTTACACCACAAGAGTAAGATTCATTTTAAAAAACCTATTTTATATTTAAAAATAACTTTTTTTTTTAAAATAGTCCTGTGACATTTGCATGGGAAGGGGGAAATAGATTTGTTTCTCTAAGTTCTAAAAGTGAGCTCCAGAAAACGTTTGTACAGCGAAAAGAATATCTGGAATACGGCAGTGATATTTGCAGGCGGAAGTTCGGTACTTTGTAATTCACTATTACAAATTTTTCTTTTTTTTTTTTTTTTTTTTTATCTGATAAAATTATGCAAGCATTAATCATCTCACATATTACTTTTTTTTTTTCGAATTAAAAAAAAATTTTTTATTGGTACAAAGAAACCCAAGCTATTTTTCCCCCCAGTGCCTAAAAGAAATATTTATCCGATGATCGCTTCTAGTTATCCCAGGTAAATTAAGGTGATTAGCAGCCGCGGGAAAAAGAGAGAGAGCAAGTGCCTCTTTGTCATGCTTTAAAGTGAAACGATGAAACAATCACGAAAGCAGGGACCTGCCAAGGGGATAAAGAATGCTTTGTTTTGCATCTGTCGAAAAAAAAAAAAAAAGAGCCCCTCCAAATTCTTCTGAATCGTATTGTGACATTTTGGGTCACACACACACATTTAAAGTGGGAGACCGGGCACCTTTAAATTCTGCTTTTCTCTAAAAACCAAATACGATAAACCGTCATCGAAAGAGTCTAGTGTCACTCTATTTTTACTTGATAAGTAGCGCGAGGGGGGGTTATAACGCCGATTTCTGTGAATGATATGAAATAATTAGGTGAGGTAGTACAAAGGCCCAAGACTAATCTAAATGATTTATTAAATAATAAGCACATATGATATGGAACAATGATCTATTTTAAAAAAACAAGTGAAATGTGAGGGCTATCTATTTCCCTACTTCTTTTTTTATCTTTCTACAAAGTGCCAAGCAAAAAGAAGGTGGTAGAGCTGGGTTTCTATGACTACCTGTCGTCATAGGTACAAGAAAAAGATTATTTATAAACATCCGTGGAGCTCAACAGGGCACATAAATTTTCCTAGAAGGTGATAGTTCTTATTGTTTATAATTTCCCCCGTCCGACAGAAACGCCGCCAAGCCGCCATTCAACCTGGGAAATATTAATAATAAAGTGACAGATTGCCCATTTTATGATAAATGACTCTCGTGCGCGTTTGCTTCCTCGCTTTAGAAAAACAAAAACAAAAAAAAGATCGACAGTCATCAGCAGTCAGTTTTTGTTTGTTTGTATTGGCTGATTCGATTTTCATTATGTTTTTATGCGGTAACAGAATAATAAACAAAAGGTGATGTAGATGTGCATAAGCTGTCTTTATATAAATGTATAAATATGATTGAAAAAGGAGTTGCGGAATAAGAGTTAGACAGAGAAAAAGATAATGTGTGTGTGAGAGAGAGAGAGAGAGAGAAAGGCGTGCGGGTGGAGTATTGTGTGAAAAGAGAGAGAGTGAGGGATAAAGGGGAGAAGAGGAGTTACTCTCCAAAGGCTCGAGTACCCATATGGATAATAAAATGTTTCTATTTTTGGGGGGTTGACGGAATCTCAAGTGAAAAAAAAAACAAAAGGGAAAAAACTCGTGTTTTTGGGTCAAGACAGCCTGAAGAGAGAACAATAGTCTTTATTTATTTTTTGCGTTTACAAGTTAATTGAAGCTAATATGGACTGGTACACAGAAATTTAGGAGAAAGTGCTACGAAATGATGAAGTTTATAAACAGAGAGATCCAGGCACCTCATTTAGAACACATAATTAAGTCTTGTCCTCGCCATTTACTACCGCTAACCAATCAAATAGAAACTTGATCTCTATTTGAACTCCCTCGATTTGTATTTCCCTTTTCGCTAAATCCTATATTTATATATATTTGAACAGACACACACAACCCCCTTCAATTTTCTTTTTAAATCTTTTGCTCTTTCTTCTTCTTTATATCTTTTCTTGAATTTTTTTTTTTTTTTTTATTTTACAGAAAAATATATTTTCGTTCTTAATCTAGATATTTTCTACCAACAATAAATATCGACTTACAAAGAGAGAACCGCAACATTCGATTCATAAAACTACCACTCAACCCTTCCCAGTCTTTAATCCTATAAAAAAAAACAACAAAAATGCGTACAGCTTTCCTCTGCCTTGCAGCTCTTGCTCAGTTCGCCCTTAACGCTGCTGCAACCAGTCCTATCACAGTCCCTCTCTTTAGACGTTCCGACGACGGTGGCATCTATAAAGCTGCCGGTAAAGCCCTCGATAACGGTGTGGTATGTTTACGCTCTTCATCTTGTCACTTTTTTTTTTTTTCGATATTAATTTTTTATTTATTTATTTTTAATTTACATAGCTCGCTGGTAAAGTTAAGATCGGTAACCCTCCTCAAGAATTTACTTTTGCTTTTGATACCAGTATGTATACATAATCACCCCCTTTCTTTTTTTTCTTTTTTTTTCTCTCTTTACTATTTTTTGAGGTTGTACTTAATTTCATTATTTTAAATTAGCGACCGGTTATTCTTGGGTGCGTGGATCTAGAGTAAGTTTTATTTTTATCGATTTTTTTTTTTTTTTTTATCCATTAACACCATTTTAGTGTAAAACTGATAACTGTCGTGGCCGTTGTACTTACTATGCCCGTAAATCAGAAGATGCTGTTTCTTACGGCAAGAAGTTCTCTGTAGAATACGGAGACTCTTGTGTCGACACTCACGTCTACACCGATACTTTTGAATTTGCCGGTCTCACCGTCAAGGACATGCCCTTCGGTGGTGCTTACCGTATGAGCGGTTTCGGTGAAGGTTTTGGTAAGCAAAACCACATAATATAAATCGTTTGCTTTCCCGATATTAACTTTCCTTTGTAGATGGTTACCTCGGCCTCGGTCGTGACGTTGATTTCAATGAAACCAAGATCCACTCTTCCGCTTCTGGTGGTAACTATTTCTAATTTATTATATAAACGAATGATCAAAAACTAAACTTTCAATCACAGGTTTGGCTAAACGTGACATCCCTGTCGCTGCCTCAGGTTTCGTTCCTAACGCTTTCCAATCTGGCACCGGTCTTGCTAGTGCTCAATTCGGTATGTACACCACCACTACTGGTAGTGGTTTTGATCAAAGTGGAGCCGCTGCTACCACCGACCCTACTACTGGTGCTACTATCGACCCTAATGCCAGCACCAACACTACTCTCACTCCTGGTGCTACTCCCAATGTTCCCGCTGGTACTACTACTACTACACCCACCGACACTACTACCCCCGTTACCGACGGTGGTGTTACATCTGGCGGTTTTGGTGTGATGAAGCGTAACAACAAGGAAGATACTGAAGAACCAGCTGGTTACCTCGTTCTCGGTGGTGTTGACACCAGTGTTATTGAAGGTGATGTCAACTATCTTCGCTTATCCGACAACCCAGATGCACCTGCCAAGAATTGGGATATCTGTATTCGTCATGCCAGTTTCGGCAGCTTGAAGTTTGCCCAAGAAGAAAATGCCATTGCATCTATCAGTACATCTACCAGTTTCATTGTTATGCCCCCTACACAAGCCGATGCTTTCCACGAAAAGTTCGCTGCCAAGTATGAATATGCCACCAAGTCTTACAGCATCAAGTGTTCCGAAATCAAGAACTTGCCTACTCTCAAGATGACTCTTGAAGACCACATTGTTGAACTTCCTCCCAAGTATTGGACCGCCGTAGTTGATGCTGACCGCGATTGTTGTACTACCAAGATTAGCCGCGGTAGCTCTGATCGTGATTGGGTTCTTGGCACTGCCATGACAAATGCATTCTACACCACTTTTGATCCTGAGGCTGAAACAGTTGGTTTGGCCATCAAGAAGGGTCAAAGCAAGGATGGTCTCAGAGTCTACAGAAAGTCTCATTAAACTGAGTCTTTTTTATTTTTATTTTCCCTCTCTTAAATGATGAATGTACACCCACCAAAACCCAAAAAAAGAAAAACTAAAAAAAAAAAAAAAAAAAATCCCCCTTTCATTCTACTACTTTCTCTTTTTTTTTTAAATGAAAAATAATCAATATATTTCCTGTTTTTTTATTCCCTTACACACCACTTATTTTGTTATATTAATAACCTCCATTTCGTACTCTGATACATTATTTATGAATATTTAATAAGAAAATACATGTTACATATTGTCTTTTTTTTTTTTTCCGCCTTTTGAAGATGAATTACTAACGCACTGACGTAAAAAAAAAAAAAGAAGCTGTCAATGATCTTTTTACCACTATGATCACTATGGCTACGATAATGTGGGGTAAATATGCATATTCCCTCTTTTTTTTTATATATAATTTTGGCGATGAACAGCGTATATGCTAAATATAGAACATTTTAATTATTGGGAAAAGATGGTTTTCTTTTTTTCTTTTTAGACGCGTCTGTTCTCTTGCAGTGCGACTCTGAACAAGGGGGAGAAGGGGGGGGGGACCAAAGTCGTCTATTTTAAGCCCAGAGCTGGAAAAATGTTGCAGTTTTCAAGTACACTATTTTCAGAAAATATTAGATCAAAATGTAAAAAAAAATTCGTTCACAAATAAAAAAATAATTCGTTCACAACGTAAAAAAAATACGTTCATCTTCCGAAAAAAAAAAAAAAAATTGAGCTTACCACTTAAGTGTATCTATGGTTGACCTGCGATAACAGGCCTGGAAAATTCTAGTTGCGACGTTGACGAACATTTCTAATGTTTGCTTGTTCATTTTGGGTTCTTGCTCTTCTCCGTTGGTTCTGGGGAACCTCTCCACGTCGAAATCTTGGGGGAATGCCATTTCCAGCACGAAGTGAGCGAACAATATCAACCATGTTCAAGCAAGCAGCCATATCACGATTCCATAGACGAGGAACAATCCTATTTGTGTTATTAGTCATGGCTCTACAATTTTGATTTGTACATCTGTCACAAGAACAACAAAAAAAATTATTAGATGAAGAAATTATTAACATGTAAAATCAACATACCTTAAGAGACCATGTCTGATTACACGAGGATTTGCTCTTCGTCTATGAGGGCGCGGGTTATCCACCATCCGAAACGTTTCAAGACTTCTACGTTCACAAGCTGGGCAGCACTGACTTGTTCTAAATTCATCAATCAAGTACACCCTTTTACCAGCTTTTTGAAGCAACCGACGGAATCCAAGGCCTCGGACCGGCTCATGAAATCTTGCATTAGGAGAAGACCAGTTACCCATAACATAAACAGCTTCGACACCAAACTGTTCATCTAGTTTTGAAATAAGATCCTCGTTTCCTTGCTGTCTTCTAATGTAGGCAGATAGCCGCAATTTTCTGTGCAAGGGATGAGCAGTACGATGGTTGGTTCGGAAGTTGACATAGTGGTTTTGGATAATGCCTGTCATATTGGACCTGTTTTCAAGATACTGTTCAAATTCATCTCTATTCAAGGAATCATAATTAACCAAAAGCCTTTCAGCTGCTGCTACTCTAGCGGGTTTCACAGCTTCACGGATTCTACGGTATTTTTTGATCTTTTCAAACTTGTCTTGGTACTGTTTGGTAAATCGAAACTTGTTTGGATTGTTTGCGGTTGAGTTTTCATGCACACAGAATAGCAAATCTCTTCGTCCAGGATCAATTGTAACACATCTTCCAACAGTTTCTTGAGCAATCTCTTGTGAAATGTACTGAATTGATTCAACCACAACAGCAAAACGAGCAGTATATCTGCTTTCACGATCCATTCTTTTCTTGATCACAGTTACACCTACTCCATCCGTTTGAATAGTTCCTCTAAACTGGAGCTCGCCATTTTCTTGGTGTTTGAGTGCATCCGAGTTCAGGTTAATTACTTCACGCCAAAGTGCTATCTTATCTTGACGATTAGTCCACCGACGACCAAGAATATTTTGACAAAGAATTTTTGAATCGATGGTTGTGTAGCAAGGAATCCAAGAGCGGCGTAATGGGAAGCAATTAAACACAGGTAATTCTATATCAATAAATGATAAAGCCAGTTCGTAAAAAGCCCGCATATGTTCAACTGGTCTTGCTTTGGAATCAAAATAAATGCTATTACCACGAAACCGGTAGTCAACGGGATAACTGGTAAGGACAGGGCGAAGAATTTCAAGAGCGTTATTGTAGATAGGGTCCCCGAACTGCTCTCCGTCCAATACAAAATCTTGAGGTAACCTTCTAGCTATAAGTTCCTTGAATCTTGTCGCCGGCTCAGTTATTTCTCTGTATACTTCAGATTTTATCAGTGCATCAATTAATCCTTCACGTCTTCTATAAGCAATTAATTCGGCTTTTCTTTGTCGAATACGAAGTAGATGATTAACAGCTTGTCTAAGATGACTTCCCAAACGCATCTGAACATTGTTGCTATAAGATGTAAAGATCTTTGCTCCTTCGATTAAAGATGCTTGCTGACCATAACGGAAATCTGGTGGAACAAAACCAGTGACCTCCAAATAGTCATCAAGATAAGTGTCAATGAATGCACGAGTCGCCCCAGTTCTTCCGCCAGCCCTTCCTCGTGCATACCGAGTCAGTTTGAGCCAGACCTCTGCAAAAAAATCACGATTGATACATCGCCTGATATCAAAGTTCTCATCTTCTTGAATGGCACGCAAAAAAATGTACTTTGAGAGTGAGTATGCGTGTGTAGTGATGTTGTGGACTGTCACTACATATTCTTCGAGCCTTTCACGTCGCTCTGGGTCCCAACCAATACCATCAATAGAGGATTTAACAGATATAATACGATCGCCAGGAGCCAAAGAACTAGATGTGCTCATATTGCTTCCAGGTGTACCCGGCGTACCAGACAAGGATCTATCAGAGTCCATGCTGGTAAAAAAAAGGGCAGTTATTTGAAGTAAGAAGTTTGCTCTATTAACATGTTAGATAAATGTCACTCATTTTTGGATTGGTTGTTACAATATTTACCTTTTACGTACAAAGTGTTATGAATTTGAGAATAAAGATAGCTATACGTAAAATAATAAAGAAAGAGAAAAATAAAAATTGAGTAAGGATTGAAGTAAACTTTTTTACCAACTATTTATATAAGATTTCATTGTTCATTTCTGACTTTAAAATGTTGTTATTGAAAAAAAAAGGGGGAGAAAAACAAAGAACAATGAAATTCGCATGAAGCAGTAATAAATACACTTTTTCTAGCTTTCATTTTATATATATATCTTTTGCAAGAAGGTACATACCTCATATTCATTATAGAAAAATTCGGATTGCCCAGAAATTATACGAAAGCAAACGGAAAATAATTGTGTCATTTAAAGTAAAATCAAAATTGGTTGAAATACCCCTAATACATACAATGAAATAAAACTTTATTTCAAGTAAAACTCTAAATACCATGTACTTGTCTGAGCGTTTTTAGGTCTTTTGTTTTTAGTTTGACAAAAAAAAACAGGTAACCGTTTCAGGGTGTCAGGTAAGGAAATGAGTCTGGTACATCCATATATTTATCCACTTATACGTTTGTTACCAATAAGTGTGTCGTTCATGACGAGGTAGTGGCATTTAATTTACTCTTGGTAACGTAACACATCTAAAGGGGGGGGGGGGTTGCTACCCCTCGCTTCCCTTATGGGTGAATAACAACAATATCAAGTTTTTCTCGTTTGTGCGTATCAAAATAGGCCTAAAAAGAAGACAATAATTATTTGGTTTAAACCCAATCGTTCAATTTTCAAGAGCAAGCTCGAGCAGGTTAGTCTTTTGGATGAAGTGACATTAAATTAAAGTCATATTATACGCATACAATAGTGCACTTGTTCGGGTCCTTCAATATGATGAAAAATTGTTCTTCTACTTTTAGCAGTATACCCATTTAATGATAACAGATATATTTCTCTTTCGTTCATTTCGTTTGTAAACTATGCATGGAAAATTAATTAATTTTTAAGCGATTATTTATTCCCTCGCTGATTGAAGTTTTATTCTAAGCGTGCACGAAAAATTTATGAAAATAGTGTATAGCAAACACAGTGTCAACATAGTTAAGATGTGGATACAATCTTATTTACAGATAAAGGCTAATTTAATTAATGGACTGGTCTTCTTCTGTGTACCTTGACTATAAATCTTATAATTCAGGGAATCAAAGTGTCACGCTGTAGGCAGTCCTTTTCACTACATCTATTTGAGTAGTTTCGCAATACTTAATCTAGAAGACCCAAGACATTTCTCATATATTTATTGCACGCTTCTTTTGAGGCTGTATCTTCGTTTTTGTCGCGTAAATCTATTTAATTCTGATTGAAATGTTGTAAACAATTTCCTATTGTAAAGGCATCATTATGCTTCGAGTCTTATAATAATACAAGGCTTGTGAGTTGATTGTCAATTAGTATCATTTTATTTGTGTATGGTGATATGGAAGATTTAGGTTAAAACAATGATCTCAATTACTTTTTACGACGCAAGACAAGTCCATCTATGCCCTATGTTGTTTTAGCAAGGCTTGTTGTGTCTGGTGCTTTTCTTGTATGACTTTTGCCCTGTACTTGTTTGACTACATTACTTTTTAAAGCCGAAACAGCGATTCCTTGATCATTGAGTATCGTTTGGTGTTGGAACAACTTGATAACCTGAGTGCTCTGCATCAATTTACAAATAATTGGCAAAATTCTCCTTGCCTTATCTATTTTTTCAAAATATACCAAAGTATCTTTTTGGCGCTATCCTTCAGCTGTTGTGTCAAGCTCTTTTACCCTCGCTAAAAGGGTTTTTATCCTGGAAGCAGCTGGATCGACTTTTTTCAAGACATTCTGCAGCTACTTTCACGTCCTTTTGCATGTAAAAACCAAAATCGCAGAACAGCCTGTTTTCCGGTACTTCTCTCAGGTCTTTGAAAACCGTTTTCCAACCCTCCATCTTGTAAAGCCTTTTTTGTCACCCAGAAATCTCAACTTGATAGCCCAGCCTGGGAGATCTCATTGGTATAGGTAAGAATATCCTCAGCCGTGGTATTGAAAAGCTTGGAATATGTTATTTTCTCAAGTGAAAAAAAAAAATGGATCATCACGTAAAGTTTAGAGAAAGTTAGACTGACATGGCATTAGAATAGACCAAAAAAGTGTGGTGCGCGAAAAAAAATATCTTCATTTAACCAGATTTTTTTATTTTTATTATTAGCCTTTTTAAAGTTCTACAAAAAAAAGTCATTTTTCAAATATGAGCACCCAAAAGTTAATGTCAAACCCTCGTGGTATCCCTAGTTCACCTTTTGTTGTAAGTCCTTTGTTCTCATTTTTTCGGTTATTATCTTTTTGTTCTACAAGTATGTGTGCTTATTCTATTTCAATCATCAGGAACGCGTTGAGGATTATGTCTCAGAAGCTGAGCCTGTCGAGATTGTCTTGAAGAAATTCCAAGAAGCAATCAGGTAATGATAACGCGACAGTATTGGTGGGGGGAAGAATGAGAAAAGGATCGATCATTGCGATGGCATATAAACGCATGCTGTCATGAGCCATCATCATCTAATTTTTTTTTTTTTACCTGTATAAACAATCTAGCAAGTACAAGTTCATGGAAGTCAACTTATTGCAACGTAGAAAAGTTTTGGAAGAAAAGATCCCCGAGATTGAAAAGACAATTGACATGGTTGATTTGTTAACTGAAAAGAAAGACAGCCATGAACCCTTATATACAGATTTTGAATTAAACGATACATTGTTTGCCAAAGCCAAAATTGAGGCAACCGGCTCTGTTTACCTTTGGTTAGGTGTAAGTGTAGTTTAATTTTAATTTATGGTGAGGATGCTTATAGTAATTTGTGTCTGTCGAAATAGGCCAACGTTATGCTCGAATATACTTGCGAAGAAGCTAAAGATTTATTAACCTCAAAACTCGAAACTGCTAAAACTTCACTAAAGAACACATTGGAAGATCTTGAATTCTTAAGAGATCAAATCACAACTATGGAAGTCAGTATCCTTTTTTAATTATCTACTAATCTACCTTTTGTAGCTGTATATATATATTTATTGTTGCATCATATTATCACCTTAACTTGTATATCGTCACTAACTTTAGATACTGCTCGTGTGTACAACTGGGATGTCAAGCAAAGACGTATTTTAAGAGAGCAAGCCGCTGTAGCAGAAGCTTCCGCTTAATCATAGACGCTGCAGTTCTCTTTTTTATTGGCACCCAATAAAAAAAAAAGACATTTTAATTCCGCCTCAAACTGTTTAATCTTTCTTACCTTGTGATTGCCCGTCTTTTCTCGCACTTGAAAGGAGGATGTTGTCTTTTTGCAACTTTAGGCGTCTTCTTTGTTGAGTTTATAAGATTGAAGCGATGGTAATAGAACTCCAAACAAGATGGTCTCTGAGTTTGATTGCACCGAAACACACAAAGGATTTGTGCTTTAAAGTGTCTTTAAATTTACATGCAGTTTTACATGTGGGTAGTCCAATCGGCTGAAACACAAGACACATGTCTGTGAGGTCAATTTTTATTAAAGAAAGACATACATTGACAGCTTTAGTGTGAGAGTCATCATCTTAATAACCTCACTTGGATTCTTCGCATTATTGCAAGATATGCTGTTTACATTTTTACACACTTACATGTATGAAGCAATGCTGAGCGTATACAAATAATATGGGGACACACTGATTGTCTTTAGAGTAGTCTTTTTTGTACTTGAGAAATAACCTTTGGTTATGATTCGCCATAAAACTTGCGGACTTGGTCTTATTTTGCCCTTTCAACTATTTTTTTAAAAGGCAACATCCCCTTTTTTTTTCATTTCTAATCACTCATGAGCTCTCAACCCACTGGCAAATTATTAGGCTTACTAGGAGCTTTCTTTCTCGCCCATTCAGCATATTCAACCTATGAACGTATGTCATCTTATTCCTATTTTTTTTTAAAGTGTCATCTTAAAAACTCTCTCTCTAGATCTTGCTTATATTAAAGCTGTCGATGAGGTCAACACAGCACTCCCCGTTGAAGTAATAACCCATTCGATTTCATTCAAATATTCGATGTTAACCTGATATTCTCTAGATTGTTACTGAATGTTTAGTGTCGGCCTTGGTCGCACTCTTTGGTGTCATCTTGTCTGCAGACGCGTTTAAACCCATTGCCATGGAGGATGAAATTGTTAAAATGTAGACACATAGAATCTAAACATCGAATAATCAAAGCTAACATGTATCGTATAGGACTATTGATAAAACTGATACAAGACCTTCATTTGTCACATTCAACCATCGTAAAGTGATTTCCACGCAAGCGGAACAAAATAGAAAGATTTAAGATAACAATAAAACCTTGTATTACCCTTTATTATAATAATTTTTGGACCTCACATAGCAGGCGAGTAATCCTCCTCTTCCTCCTCATCCTCATCTTCCTCTTGGCTTAATTCATTATAGAGTTTGGTAGAACTGGAAGGCGAAAGAGGTTCGCCGTCTTCATTGAAGAAATCATCGAGATCCTTCAAAGCATTCATCAAATCGTCACCATATTGACCAGCAGTTGATATTCCACCGACCGATTGAGAATTAACTCCAGCCATGGTATAATCATCTCTATATACATTTTCAGTCACAGATGCCTCACCCGTTAACATAGAAAAGTCCTCTACAGAGAATTGGATATTATGTTCAATAGGAGCTTCATTGGTGATAGACGAGCATTCAAATACAACCGCATGAATATTGTGTCGAGTAATTTTCGCTGCCTCTGCAAAATTATTGAATCCATAAATTAATTCATTATCGGAAGCCATGGCTGATTTCGCATCACGAGCTACAGTATGAATACCAGAGTTTAATACACCAAGAGCTCGGTCAACGTATTCAGTGGGGACTAATTGTAATAAGGGTTCGAAGGCTGCGATATCAATCGAGACTTCTGTTGTAGCTCGCATTACTTTTCCCGTGATATAGGGTACCAGGTTTTCAATTACTAATAAAGTCTTATCACGATAGAATGGGAGCTTATTCTTGACCATCAAAAGACAAAACATAAACGCCTGTTGGCTGTATTCCACCAAAAAGACATCGCGCATGCTTGACAAAATTTGCTTGAGATAGTCTTCTTGGAACTTTGATTTTTGGATATGATAAGTGGCGAGAACACGTTGAATGCCAGACAAGCCATAATCTTCAAATAGTTTTATCAATGTGTTTGCAAGCTGGATAGCCTTGGGATCCACCTCATTTTCATTATCGAGACCATGTAGCAAGCGAGGTAAACAACCCAATAGGAGGTACATGAGCCGAGTTTCGGTAGGATCAATCAAAGGCAGGTTGTCTTGAAGAGAGATTGATTTTAGAATATTGAATGTGTTTTCCTCTGCTGATGGAAACTGAAGGCCTTTCAATAAGAGAGGTTGAAGACCATCGAACTCGCTTGACCAGTTTTTAGGGAAACTATCAGCCAATTTCGGGTTAAACCCGTACTTTTCTAATACGATCTCTAGCAGTAACAATGCTTCACAATGCTCCGATTCATAGGGACTGTATAAACAAGCGACAGCGGCCCAAAACAACTGAGGAAATTGCTCTATTTGGCTTTTATCCATAGACTTGGCAACTTCAGTTAACGTCAAAATAATTTCCAATGCAAATCCACGGATTTCTTCAGATTTGTCCGCAATGGTATTAGATAGACGTGCGAGCATATCCGCCAACATGTGTTGATTGAAAGCTGGCATCAGACCTCGGAAACACTGGAATGAACGACAAGCGATATGTCGGACAGAGCAACAAGTAGCCCACTTTAAGGCGGTTTCTCCCCACTTCTGTCGCAAATCAGGATCTTCATACGAAAATACATCCACCACACGATGAATTAATCCTTTAAGCTCATCAGAGCTTACAATACGTCGATTATTGGGCGTGATGTTTTCATAGGCCCATAATCGTTTTCCTTCTTTACCTACTAACCATTGGATAATTTCAGATGCTTTTTGGGAGGCTTCGGAGTCCATAGATTGACGAACCACGATGGAGTGTATAAGGTTGATCAAAAAACAACGAGACTGGTCACAAATAATACTAGTCAAGTGGTCTAACTGTACAAAGATACTGTGTAATAGCAATGGTAAATGTGGTGCAAGATCTGCACCGGCTTCGATCGCAAGATCTACCAGGAATACCATGGCTAATTGACCTCTAGAAAACATGGGCCGTTTGGGATACGATGGAAGCACTTTCTCTGTATCTGCAACAAATAGCAGTGGGAAAGCATGTGCATGTCTTCCACTGGCTTCTTTCAATTGGGGTACCATCGTTCTTGGTGTAATCTCGGCAATAATTTCTTCGGTAATAGTCGCAAACGCATGTGTACGACCAAGACAGACAAACACTCGTTTTGCATGAATTAAGAACCAAGGATTTCTTTTTTCCTGGCCCATATCTAATAAATACATGATGATTGCACGTACGTTACGACCGGAATCAACTAATTGACTCCATAATGCAGCAGTTTCTTTCACGTAGATATCACCGAACTTGATCGTTATGTAGTACAAGTTTGATAGCACCATGTAGGCTGAAGCGCTTAATTCAGAATCATGAGGTCCAACACCAAGATCTACTTTTCTATGCCAGGGTAGCATGTATGTCAGTACTTCACGTTGAGAGTTTGGACTGATATGTTCAAAACGTTGGGTGATTTCAGATAGCATCGAATAAGTTTGTTCAGGATGGTCGAGAGCAAGGCGTGCAGACAATAATGATTGGGTGTGTTTATAAATGGCAGGTAGACTACTCGTGATGCCGATTTCGTATTCTTTTGCACACGAATCAGCAAAAACCCGCTCTTCAATAACACGAAGTAATTGAATTGCAGTTTTACGAATTGTCTTTTTTGCATCACCCGATTTAAAGAGAGCAAGACTCATGATTTGATGAATATGACATGGATAATCTTCGACTTGAGTTACAATTTCGGCTAACGCTTGGAAATACCCTTGAGTGAATTCAAGCTTGGGATTACCTGCATAACATTGTTCAATGATATCGTCAAGTAGCACCGATTGATCTTGGTTGTAAATCATAACTGCTTCAAGGGCACGACTAAAAATGAAGTATATTAATGTATATTGCCAGACTAAAAATGAAACTATCCTTTACCGAGCGATCGAGTGATAATTAGGATCACGGCTTTCAAATATAGCATCAATCCAGCGGAGAACATTGAGCGTATCAAATTGAATAATAGCCTGGCGAGCCTTCTTCTGTCCAAGGTATGCATATAAAGGACCACGCTATGTTAAGTGGAATATTTTAGAATTATTTTAAACGTTTTTCTCTCTCTGATGCAATTACTTACACAAAGAGTGGCCATTGCACTCAAGGAAGCTGACTCTAATGCCTTACGTTCATCCTCTATCAATTGCGTCATACTTGTCCTCTCCTTCGGATCTTTACATTGTTCCAGTACATCTCTGATCATAGTTGCCTCTCGCTGTTGAGTAGTCTTTGCAGTAGCACCGTAACCGCACCATTCTTCAAACATTTTATATAGACTGAGTCTAGTTTCAAATGACATGAGAGACGTAGGGTCTTCCAACTTCATTATGCTTTGATATAATTTATCGACCAGACCACACAAGTAGATTCGGAGACGTTGATATTCCCATTCAATTTGTACTTCCGTGTCTACCAAAAAAGATTTTGTTTCCTTGATATAGCTCATAATCACATTCATCAAGTCTTTGTCGCCAACAGCTTCTGGATCTGATAAGCAACCAGCTGTCAATTCGAGTACATTCATAACAGAGATACGAAGTCGATCATTTTTCTTGCTACGTTTATTCTGGTAAGGTTTTTGATTGTTTCGTTGTTTACCGTCGTCCAAGATTATTTTGACATATCCCTCCAGTTCAGACATCAATGACTTATACACATTCTGGTTAATGTGTCCAAGGCCATCGATAGCACTTTCGCGAATAGGTCGATGCTCACATGTCAAGTAAGGGGATATCAATCTGAATAAATCGCGAGGGCTTGAAATTCGGTCCACATTGGCTGATCCTTTTCGGCCTACGGCGGACCAAATGGGCAAAGAAATTGTAGGGCTGTCGATTCGTATCGCTGTTGCACATGCAAAAATAAGGTATATACGCCACTGTTCGATCGTCTCAGGGCTTGCTGCTTTGTGGTTGGAGCTGCTACTCTTTGCCATACTCAACGTACCTGTAGCACCGGCTTTGATTGTTTCAACCCATGCCAAAATTGAAGGTTGTATTTGCAATAATCGAGCACATATGCCAAGTCTACATTGAGCTGTTGTTTGAGGAAAGTGTTGAAAGCATAATTTAAAAATCTCTGGTAAGCATATATTCCAAATGATAATATCAGATGGATGATCACTTTCGGCAATTTGTATCAATACCTGCTCTATCCCTCTTCTTTGGTGCTGAAGTATTCTGGTACGCACCTCAGATGAGATTTTTGTTCCTAATAACGTATTGGATTCCTTATCGAATTGTATCAAATCTTGGCCTATCGACTCCAGCAGCTGTGACAATCTTGTCCATGATTTTACGTTGGTTGTTTCTTTTTCCGGAGCAATTATTTCGTCTGCTTTGGTTTGTAACATGGCGTTCAACCGATCTGACAGCAATGAGGCCATTTGGATAATTTCTATCGCAAATTTTCGAATTGAGGGTGACTGGTTACATAAATACAGCAGCCCATTCGCCTCTGTCTCTTCTACTAAATCAAGCAGCTTCCCGATGTTGACATCGATAGACCCCCTAATGTTGGGATTGGTAGGTCTTTCCAAAGATGTCAAGTCCAACTTGTTGACCCAAATTGATAAAAGATCCACGTACAACTTGATAATTCCTCCATTTCCATTATGGCTACCTCCTGTGATTGGGCCACTCCCTAACGACTGGACTACTTCTGAGAATTTATCTTCGATTTTGCATATATATCTTGAGAATCCTGTCACAACTGTTTGACTGTCTATCTGCGCAGCAATACGCAACAATGCCTTGGAAGCCGATTTAATAACTTCAGGATCAGTATGAACAGTGTTTCTTGATAGTATCTCGACTAGTCTTGGTAAAGTTATTCCTGCAGGCATAATGCGAGGCATACAATCAATGATGGTTTTTATCACATCAAAATAAGCCTGCTTATCTTTTGTGTATGATACAGAAAAACTTGCATATTGATGATGTATCTGTGGTCCACTATCTGAAGGACCTCCACTATTGGCAAAAATAGGTACAGAATAATTTGTCGTGATTGTACTTGTGTTTGTACTGAGTCCACCGGTCATCGGTCTAACAATAATATTTTTTTCATCCAGTACTAGCAGCCGACCAAATGTCTGGTCTAAACTAGAAAGGGTCTTTGATATAATTTCCTCCACTTTATCTATCACGTCTGGCTTGACAGCACGGATGGGACCAGAAAAAACATCCGCGGTGCATGAAATAGGTATTCCGCACCCAGTCATATCGACATCAGCAGGAAAAGGTGGTTTTTGTATGTTTCGTTCAAGATCCGATAGCATTAAACGGAATGCTGACAAGCCGATAATCATACGTTCTGGATTAATCAAGTCCCAGTTATGCGATGAATGACTTGAAGAGGATGCCTCTGTATTGAGAAGGTAAAACAGAATTTTTTTGGTACCGGTGTCGATATCGCGCATGAGCGAAAAGTATGTGATTAATATAAAATGATCCAAAGGTGTATCTGAGGGATATACAGCACGGCGAAATGGCGGGAAGATTGTTTTAATAATCACGTCCAACTTTTTAAAAGTTATTGAAGTACTTTCTGTACAACGAAAAAGGTAAGTCCATGTTAGTCTGGAAATACAACCTAATGTAACCAAACGGGTATATTTGTCCTGCTGTAAATGTATATATTTAGTGGTATTACACTTGGATGATCTACGTATCTTACCTTGTTGAACTTTTGATAGCAACTATCCATAACTGAATTCCAATTCGCTGCAAAAAAATCTTTACGGCTAACACACAGTAAAGTAGTAACAAGAGGGTATCCTGCCTTTAATAGATTTACACTTTTTTTAAAAATTCTGTTTAAAAATAAGATCAATCAACTAACCAAAATGTGCCTTGGTTTTAATGTCATTTTAATAGCACGAGGATACATCAAATCTACAGCTTTAGCCCATGATGGAAAGTTGACTTCCGCCACTGCGACCTTGATTAAAACATTATAAACGACTATTTCTTTCTTTTTCAAAAACAGTGGTGTTGTGTCTTACCTCGGCAATCGGCAGAAGTAACTGGATAAAAAGTTTAGCATAAGCATGTTTCACTTTGGCTCCATGAGCGTTTTTGAAGAAACTAGCACAACTAGATAAAAAATCGGCAGTCTCTTCCAATGCATCCACAGGATAAATCTGCGGTATCAAAGGACATCAGTTTTAACCTTCAAATGGTGCCTGGTGTTGTTACCTTTATTTTTAGATATCGCATTCCCTTAATCAACATTTCCATGTGTCCTTGTCTCTCTTTCATGATTGTCTGGTTATTATATTTTTCTAATTCTGCAATGAATCGATCGCTTACTGAAGCAAATCTAATATTCGATAGTTCTCCGATCAATTCGGCAAATAAGTCCATACTAGCTGTTCTATTCTTTGATCGTTTTATAGCTTCTCTAACGTTTAAATTCGCATAAATATCTCTAGGAATGACAAAACCAAAAGTTACTTACGGATCCGCTTTTTTCAGTTGATTAAATACAATCTCTTCCAAATTTTCACCGAGGTCATCTGGTAATGAACCTGGTGTCAGTCGTTTAATAATCTCTATCAAAGCCCTACAAAGGATAAAAACAGATGCGAGCTATTTTTTGTTAATTTTGTCACAAAGTTAACAACTTGATACATACAGATTGTCTTTCTTTCAAAACTGATTGAATTTCCCGAGTACGGGAAAGGGGTGCAGAATCACTGCAATTAAAAGAGAAGATTAATTTTCTACAAAAATGCTGGGAATTTTTATTTGGTACCTGACACGTTTTATTATAGAAGGGTCCAAAGGTTCGACTTTTATCTTCCTCCATCTCATTACTGCATCAATTACAGCGCTTTGTTGTGTTGCAGCTAGAGAGGATAAGGAGCAAATCAACTTGTCAAAGGTCTCATCGCTTCCATGTCCCAGCAGCTTTCGTAAATCAACATCGGCATCCTATTATTATTTTTTTGAAAAGTTTAAACAACTGCCAATATCAAAACGACAATTAATAAATACCACCCCCAAGTTTAAAATAAGAGACATTTTAGCGTCTGCTAGTTGTTCGAATTGACTAAATATTACGTTAAGTGCATAGTCGGCACTTGAGATCGAGATAACATTACTGGAGTTCGGAATGCCCTGTTTTAAAGAATGTCCATTTGGGGTATCATAACTTGGGATTGTTGGATTAGAAGGTGACAAAAAAGACGATGTCTGCTGAGAATAATTGACAACATCCCGATCCGAATTGGATACATTTGATTTTTGTTGCCTGTTATGATTCATGTGAGGATGAAACATTGCAATGGTTTTAAATGCAAGTTTGAATTAAAAGGTATTGTGACTACACAGTCGACAAGTTTTATCCGAAAATGGAGTAAAAGTTCTATGTAATTGTAGAGGAGTTAAAATTATAATTAACCCATTGCTAGAATTCAGGGCTGTCATAGCAAGGTTTCATACGCTATCAACAGTCTGTCTTGTTAAACAAAAGCCTCGTAAATGAATGTTTCCTCATTATTACTTTCATGTTGAACTCTGATTCAGTTTTTTTATTAATATAGGCAATCAAACTTAATGATTGTATAGCGCAAACAGACCTTTCGTGAGAGTCGTTTATTTATTTGACAGGAATTAGGTATACGAAATTTATGAGCCTTCTTGTTTAAGCAAACGAGCATGTTAACCACTTTTTTGCTCGATATGATCGCTGCGAATTTAGAAATTTAGTTGAATTCAAATGTATACACTCTTAAGCTTTAATTCAACTCACCTTTCTTCTTCGTCGTCACTACGAGTATCCTCGGCGTTTTTGCCCTTTAAAACGCCAACAATCACTTTTACTATCATCGCAAACCAGTAGACCATTATTATGTTTAACATGACAAATAGAAATACATATATCTTCTGAGTTAATGGAGTAAAATACTTCCCTTTTTCAGGTTCCCACTTCATGTCTATATATCTACTTGGTTCAGCTGAATAAAAATTAGGTAAATATATTTATGAACGCATTAAAAATACTTACTAGCAGTTGCCCAAATTATCATCGAAAATAGTACATGTCTGGTAAGAGGCCATGAGAGAGCAAATATTCCGAATGTAATGTCACATGTCTTGGATAAGCCAATGTACTTCAATAATTTGGCAAGCTTGAAATTCATTAGAAGCAGGGTATATAGCTAACATGCCACTTACAGATAGTATAATGTCAGACAGGTCCATGCAGCAAAGAACAGCATTTCCGATACGAGTAAAGTTGGTAAAATAACTTGATGCTATGAGAATAATAGTAATGAAGTGATGCGTAACCATTGCAAAGTGATCTTTCCTTCTTTTCTCGATGTGAATAGTGTATACTTGCTGTACCCAAAAAGCAAGTTGCATCAAATAATACGTTTTAGTTTGTCTAGAAATAAGAATATGAGGATAGTCAATCCAGTAATAAGAAGTGTTTAACCAGTGAGGGCCGTTATACATGATGTACTATGAGTTGTATGTTTAGTAAACTCCTTTTACATTGACTCGTGTATCTACCATTCCATATGACCAATATAAAGTATAATACGTGAGTGACCATCCTTGTTCCGCAAACCTTTCTCTTTTAGAGAAAGGCTCAATATTTAATGATTGAGCAGTAGGATGAAATAAAAATTTCATGAAAGCAGCTCGTAAAAAAGCAAACGTAACAGCCCAGAATGCAACGAAATAGCAATCGTTATACCCTTTATCGTATTGATTTACATTTCCAACCTGGTAAGATACACTTATGCACTTTACTGCTAAGGGATCGCCTAGCATGTAGGCAAACACAACTAGTAGAGATATGATACCTGTAATTTCTATATACGGCTCAGTTGATAATGAACTACTCATGTTTTATATTGTTCCTTACCGAGCTCTCTTTTGAGTACGCGTTGTTTCAAGCTCACTGTTTGTTGTTTGTTTTTTAAATCAGTTTTAGCTTTTGGCGTCCCAGCCTTCTCTAAGTAACTTGACATATCCTGACAGCTGTAATATCAAGTCAAATTATTAATGTAAAACTCCCTTTGCTTTGAGAAAAGTGAAAGGAAGAAGAAGAAAACAAAAAGGGGGGAAAGGTAGGGGAGAATTACAACAAGAAAAATAAACATATGTCGGCGTTTTAAGGCCTACAATAATAGTAAACTTTCATGTTTAGCCGTTGCCTTAAGTTTAATTTCAAAATTTAACCGAACATACTTATAAACTTGAAAGAAACTGAATCTATAACCCAACATTAACACCCCCAAATTTTTGTAGCCTTATATATTACATAATAAGCATGATACAGCTTATCCTCATGAGCATATGCGTTTGTACATGTCAAACAGAATTGGTCACATTCATTTGGTATCACCAAACATATTGAATTAGCGCAAGTTTGGGCTTACGTATAGTGTAACCATCCCCTAAACGACGTCCAGGTTAGAGTTTTGTCCTTAACACAATACGGGTATGATTTGGTATGCATGAGCTACTCAGATTAAATGAAAATCGGTTGCTAGAAATCAGAATTCGCAGATTTTCTCTCTTGAAAAGATGTGATCTGTGTGTTAATAAGCGAAACGATTGGGCCTAAGTTTATAAATAAAAAGGATGGATGTTTTAATTTAAGATATATTGATTTATTAAATTTATTGAAACAAAGCTAGTTTTTTTAGAGTGGGATATGATTTAAGTGTGCAAAATGAAGTAATGTAAAAGAAATGAAAGATAATTAACGGTTTTCGGAGTTGGCAACAAGAAGCTTGAGTTCACGAGGAGCATCAAATTGAGGCATAATGACTTCAAGGAAATGCATCTTATCTGGATTGGCTTGAACATCCTTCATAGCTGCCTCAAACTCGTCACGGTTAGATACCTTTCCTTCAAATCCAACTTGAGAACATCCTTGTTGTTGATTGTTTTCGAGATGGGCACCGAAGAAATCAAGAGCTTTACTATAATTCCACATTTGGAAGTTGTTGTAAGAGCGATGAGGGCCGTGGATGAGTTTTTCGATAAGATAACCGTCATTGTTTAAAAGGAATACAACAGGTGTAAGACCATGACGAAGGAATACTGAGATTTCTTGGGCTGTCAATTGGAAAGATCCATCACCAACAAACAAGTAAACACGACGACTGCGATCGGCGATTGCAGCACCAACAGCAGCACCTACTGAGAAACCAATAGAACCCCAAAGAATTTGAGTAATATAAGTAGTACCTTTAGGACCATCCAAATTTAAAGAAGCGAACTCTGCGGTACCAGTTTCAGCACAGACAATGGCATTCTCATCCATGAACTCGGGTACCTTGTTCCAAAAGTAGTTATGGGTAATCTCGGTACCTTCTTGAATTGGCTCAGGCTTACCACGGGGTCCAAGATCAAAGACACGGGGTTCTTTAGGAAGTGCTTCAGTTAAAAGAGGGATGAACTCCATCATTGAAACCTTTTGATATTCAGCACAGAAAACAATGGTAGCAAAAGAATGAAGGGTAATGGTCTTGGAACGGTTAAGCGAGTAAGAAAAGTTACCAGTGTTGAAATCAGACTTGATGGAACCAATTTCAATGATCAAATCTGCTTGATGGATTTCTTTATCGACAGATTCGAGGGTGACATTGCCAGAGTAACAGCCACGGAAAGAGGGATGAGATTCATCGACAGCACCTTTACCCATGGGGGCAACATAAGTGGGGAAACCAGAACGAGTAATGAAGTCTTGGACATCCTTCTGGCAACGATTACGAAGAACACAGCCATCAACAACAATAACGGGATGAGATGCTTTTTCAATAGCATCAACGACAACCTTAAGAGCAATTTCTTGAGTTTGTTCGGGATTCTTGGGGAGAGTGACGACAAGAGGAGCAATTTCAGGAACTTCGACTTCGTAATGAATAAGATCAATAGGAATACCAATATAACCGGTACGCTTGGAAAGGACGGCTTGGGAAATGACACGATCAATCTCAGAGATAGCATGCTGTTTCTTTAAGTGAGTTGAAGCACAAGCAATCATAGATGACATGTTGTAAAAAACGTCGAAGTTACCGTCACCAAGAGTATGATGAAGCATAGCACCAGCAGCTTGAGACTTGGTAGAAGGAGTACCAACAATGTGAATGACAGGGAGCATTTCAGAGTATGAGCCGGCAATACCATTAACAGCAGAAAGTTCACCAACACCAAAAGTGGTTACAACAGCACCAGCACCACGAATACGTGCATAACCATCAGCGGCATATGAGGCGTTTAACTCGTTTGCATTATTTCCCCAAGTAAGTTCGGCATCGTCTTCGATAATGTCTAATAAAGGCTGATATTTAAATGTTAGTCTATGTTTAAAATTTAGCATGAATTATAATAAGCATACCATGTTGAAGTCGCCAGGAACACCAAAGATAACATCGATGTTGATTTCCTTAAGTCGGTTGATAAGATGTTGACCGATAGAGATAGAAGGCATATTGTAGTTTTAAGTTTTATATAAAGAACTGAATAATGTACTTTGGAATAATAAAGCCGAAGTTCTTTTATACTTTTTTAATTGTTGATTGTCGTATCGTTGAAATCTAACCGGCGACAAATTCTCAAACTTTTGCCGTAGCAAAAACACGTACCACGACTATCCCCGATTAGTCGGTTTCTGAAATTTCTAAAAGTAATCTTTTTATCTTAACTTTTAGTGCATTTTTTTTTCACCTGTTCATTGATTGAAGGCATAGGAAGAATACGCGATTTTGAACCGATTACAGAAATAGATATGAAAGATATCCGTTATGTTGTCAACAATCAAATACATGAGTGACTTGTATGCTTGTTAAAAGATGCTTCTTTCATGCGTGCATATTTATCACTTCAGATTATCGACGATTATCATTCAACTCGTCATTATTTTGCAAAAGATCAAAACGTTTTTATCGTATTGAACAACCGAAAAGGGCCTGTTACCATTGCTACCCGGCCCTCTTTTGTAAAAAGTTAGAGATCCGCTAAACATTTTGTTTTGTATTATGTATAACTTTGGTCATAGCCTTGTAACGCTCGGTGAGAAAGTTTTGTGCACTTAGTCTACTGTGGAATGAGGACTAAACTTTTATTATATTCCATTTAAAGCGAGGTAGGTGAAGACGGTATAATAATGTCTTGTTTATTTTGATAGTCAGCTAAAAAACGCATAATGTGTACTACGCTAATTCTTACTAACTTTGATGTCATAGTTAGATAAACCCTTCGATTAACAATATGGAATACGCTCTTTTTAAAGAAAGTAATTGTCTTGATATCCTCAACCATCAAGAGCTTTTGTGGATGTCGATAATAATGACTCTAAACGGGCTGATAAGGTAATTACGTACTGAAAGGTATGACATGTTTTAGAAAGCGTGCGACTGTCTGAGAGTTAAATAGATGTTATCGGGAAAAATGGGACGATTTCCGTTTGACATTTGTGAACGTGCGTCTAGTTCACCAATGCTGCATCCCATCCAATAATATTCGCTGATTATGAATGCTCAATCTGATCCGTAATAAAGTGTGCCATCCGTAAATACCCAAAGGAAAAAAACTTGAAGTTTTTTTCCTCAGGGAATACTAGTATAGTTTCATGGTTGAGCTGATACAAATAAAAATGTTTTGTGATAAGAGGGTCTGGGCAAAAGATTAAATAGATTGGAAAAATCAACTTTTTTCTTCTCATAACAAAAATGGTACGACTTTTTTCCCTTTTTGGTTGTTCTATTTACTGCAAAGATGAAAAAGAATTCAAAAGAAGTATGTGTCATTGTTTATCCGTGATCAAGCATATAGTCCGGGTTTCAGGTCATATTACTTTAAACAGGTTTTATACTGTAAAAGTCAACCTATAGTAACTTGGTGTTCCTGTGAGAGTCTTCATATTTAACTATTTGTTACTTTCACTCTTGTTTATGTCATAAGACCAAGTACACGCTTATGGCAAAGTATAGCATTTAAAACCTTGTGTGGGTTTACTCGGCTGGCTGTTTTTTAATATTACCAATACGTGGGTTCCGAGAGGCTGTGTATTTGTTTTTGTGTAGGGTCACAGCATCTTCCAGTCTATTTTCGTTCATTTAATAAAATGGCCACGTTCTCATAACTTTTCAATGCGGCTTGTAAATTGTGTCCTGCCCATAATAAGAAATGGTGTTACAAAGTGGTGATGTTCTCAAGGTGATTACTGCTGTATTACTAAAAGCAATTTTATACACAGTTGACACACAATGTTGGAAAATCCACCTTTTTTTTTCTAAAGAAGCTACCAAGTGAGTTCTAGTCATATTTTTGCCGAAGTATTTCGTTTTCGTGGTTACTTTTTTGGCAGTGTATTTACTAGTCAATATGAGCACATTGATATTGGAATCAACGTTGGTTAAAAAAAGCCCAACAATCAAAAACCTTAAGTTGAAAAAACGCTATAAAAATACAAATGATATACATCTGAGGGTTATAACCTTTCCTTGTGATAATTCGAAGCTTATTACTCCCAATTAGGAATCGCTTTCTTGCTTATTGTGTCAATAAATAACAAGCTAAACAAGTTTAGATGTCCAATATTTGCGTTAAGACAACAAGGGCCTATCCATCAGCTGTCCAAATACTTTTTTCAATTAACATTTATTACTATCGGTGCCGTCTATCTGATCAGTAAATAACAACTTTTTGCCAGCGATATAAATAAAATGGCGTATTATTAAGCTGATACTTGTTAAATATTTATATATATAAACCATGTTTTAATACCAGGTCTAACTACCCTCTTGTTAACTACAGCTATGCTCTTATTTTATCCACAAACGTTATATCGTGCAAACTTATAAACTGATTTTCTTTATGAATTTAACTAATTAAAAAAACGGACCAAGCAAATGCATACCAGCCTTGTCATCTGCCTCAACTAGCCTCAAAATTGAGGGGTCGACCATTTTTGATAATGATTTTGTGGGCGAACTGTTGCTGAAGCTTGATTTAAACAAAGCCTTATTGTGCTGGTCTTTCGATTGCAAAATAACAAACAAGCTTTCTCTCAAGATTCTGTATCTTTGCCTTGGGTTTACAATATGTTGAGCATGACCTGTGAAAATGAAGTTGAAGATATCAACAAAAGAAGACGGTCAGCTTTGGCAAGGAAGATTCGAAATGATATCAATTCAACAACACCTGTTGCTTTAAGTAAACTATCATTCCTGTTCGAAGTGAACTTTAACAAATTACAAGAAAACGTTGGGGCAACACCAGATGTTACTATACCCGAAAGAGAAGATTGTTTTATACCAGAAAATTTCTCTATTCACCATTCCCGTAAAACGTTTTCCATGATGCCTCACTACGGACTGAAACCCCAATACGTAAAAATTGATATTGCTACTTTAAGGACTCTTGTTAATAGATCTGACATTATCAAACCTATCGCAATTTATGATCAATCGCTGGATGCATATACTAGAGATTCGACTTACTTCATGAGTCTATTTGATTTGAAAAAAAAGTAGGACAATCTGGAAGGTAACGATTCTGTCTTATAATTTTGGTCCATATAGAAAAAATGACATTTTATATTGTTGTAGTGTCAATGAAATGCTTAACAGAAGAAAAGTCATGATGCGTAATATTCTTTGTACGGAAGGGCGTCCGGCTGACTTTTTTTTTACCAGACCTGCAATCTCCAATGACAATGAAGATATAAAGCTTGAAATAAACGGTTCAAAACATGGAAGATGCAAGACGTAGTCAGATTGTGGGGTGCCGATCCGGGTGTCACTGACATCTTTGTTGCGACCGATGGAAATGGAAATGATGCGCATGAAATAAGGTCCATATCGACAGCGGAGTATTATGTTAAAGCCGGCTATAAAAAAAATCAGGTAACAACGAATTCGCTCAAGCAAGAAGGGATGCCTCCAGTTGGAACGAATATTCCAACCCAACGAACTTCAAAGCTATCAACATTTGAACAACATTTACAATATTGCTTTACTCATCTAGACACGATATTACAATTCTATGATGGTCGATTTACCCGCGCAGAAATAAGGCAGATCACAAGCAGATGCGCGAAAAGAAGAACAAGAAAGAAATGACCTTGCAGGTGGAAAAAGTTCACTCTCTGCGCCAGCAACAGCTTACACTACTGTATCTGTAACAACGAGAGGCCCTTCAACCGAGACTCAAAATCAGAAATAGAAGAAAGCTCCCTTCAAGAACGAGAAGAAAGTGCCTTTGATCGCCTTAGGAAGCGGAGTATTTAACGTGACAATGAAAAGAAAGCAATCTGGTATGCTTCATAGGTTAAGAAAAAAGATGGAGGAAGCAAGTATCGATGAAAGGCTATTCTGGTGTATACCGATGAGTAGCTTACTTCACAGGCAAAATAATGAACGATTCGGATTTTTGTACTGGATATTAATACTTTAATTTAGATGTGTTCCAATCCTTCCTGCTTGCTGAAAACACTGGAGAATGTTCGAATCCCTGATGTCGGAAAGATCCAAAATTTGTTGACTTGCAAAAGTTGTAACAAATTATGGAATAGAGATACCAACGCGGCTCGATATATTCACTCTCTTGCAAGTTTCATGCAAAAAAAAACAACGACGTACGTCCAAATAGATTCCAAAGACCTGTGACAGACCCCCAATCATTCATATCGTAAACATATGTTGATAGTTCGGTAAGTCAATATATTAAATTCAAAAAAAAAATTATAATATTTACAATTTATTCTCTCCCCATCCCCCAGACACGTCCCCCGTGTCGAACCACGTGTCAAAAAAAAGCAGTGGAAGTGTTTATTTGCATAAAGAACAGACACTAAAGTCTGAAATGCAAAGTTAATTGGGAGGTAGTGCTATTGAAATCAATAATTTTGCGTCCTATATAAATACAAAGTAATAATTTGAAAAGGCAACTCGGTGCTTAGGGGTTTACTTATTGCAATTTGACACCAACGCTGTACTAATGGAACTAAACTAAGAACTCTGCGTCCTTATTATCGACAACATAATAAGAAACCATAGGATTATAACACCTGATTCGGTAGAAGTTACGATAAATTTTTCTTCATCCCACACTTATAATAAAATTGTACCCTGTTCTATGAGGAAAAATAAGTTCGAGTGATTTGCATTCATCAAAATTTGGCAAAAGCAGGAATGGTTTGCCTTAAATATTTAGGTTACAGAAAGTGCAATAATATGATCTTTACTTTAGGAAAGAGAGACAAATGACATACAGTGATCTTTTTGAGGATTTAAGCATAAGTGTAGATGACTACAAGTCCGTGCAATCCAATTTTCGATGTACATGAATTCATTAACTTTCAAAATAAAGTACAGTGATTTACACATTTTTTTTAATAACACTGTTTAATTACAAGATTAGCAGAAAGGCTTTTATGTTTGTAAGGGAGTAAGCTCTCGGTTCTTTTAAAGTCCTCAGGAGCAGAAATACGTAAGCTTGATTTGACGGGTACCTTAAAACTGTTCAATATAAATCATTTCATAATTGTGAACAACTATTCCACACATGAAGATAATGAAATACGATAGTTGTTACTTAAAATAACAACATCACCCGTTCTCAAATATTTAAGTAACTGATGTTTAAAAAGACGGTATTTTATTAAAACAGGTTTATTTATATGTTACGATATTATTAGATGGCTTTTAGGCAAAATTAGGGTTAAATTATTAAATATATCTGGACAGTGATTTTAGCAGAAGAGAAATACAACCATGACGCCGAGCATCAAATATATAGTTGTTATGTAGTTGAAAGGTATAGGAGTTTGGTTATTTGCATTTGCAGACGAACTCTCGTTTCCCAAAGTTGTACTGAAAATGGTTGCAGTAGATTTCGGGCCTGTGTTTATGGCTGAATTAGATTGGCTTGAAACGGATGGATAAACGCCGTCTGTCTTAAAAGTCTGAACCCATTGCCAGTTTGCTATGTCAAGTATAAAAAAGTCATTTCGAAGGTTTCCAAGATTATCAGCGCCAAAGACTATAAATAAAGATTTGCCTTTGTACAACACAGCTAATGGACATTGAAATTAGATCTGGACTTAGTAAATATACAATGTGTAATTTTACCTGAATGTCCAAATCTAGGACCAGCACCTTCATTTATTATATCTACAGCTGTCCATTCAAATGATGTTGTATTCAATAAATAGCTGTAATCCGTTACCGTTTTTGAAGCATCTAATAAAGTGTATTAATTGTGAACATGAACAAATTTTTTTTTTTAAATTTTTACCAGTTGCAGATCCGCCATATACAAATATGAGATCATGATCGGGAACTATAAACAAGAAATTTAGTGGCACTGCTTGTATACCATAAATAATATTACTACTTTGAGTGGCTGAGTGCAATCTTCGAGAGGATGGGACAGTACTATTTACTGGGGATTTCCTTAAAAACCAAGTATTATTTGCAATGTTGTACTCGAGGATTTCACTCATAGATGCGGCAATAAGCTGGTCGTTGTCATCTGATTGTAAGCCTCCGATGTAAAATATAGATTCTCCTGATCGACCCAATGTTTCTGTATGTGCAATACGAGCACGGACAAACGAAGGTTGTAATGACGTGTTTGTGCTATCTGGGAATGACCAGGTCAAAGTCTGAAAATAAAATATAGTTTCAGTTAAGTTATACTAGTATCTATCATGTGCACACTATACATTCATGTTTAAAACTTGCATTTCATCATGATATGTAACCTCAGTTATGTTTGCAGATGTTGTATTATCGCTGGAAGAATGAAGGAAGCAGTTTAATAATTTTATGTCGTACAAAAAGCATGCATCGGTTCTTTCTTTACCTTATTCCACCCCAGGTCCAAATCCGATTAAACGGATCAAGCGTTGAGGTCTCTTCGCGACTATAATACAGATTAGTAACTGACGTAGCATAATAAACAATCGAGGCACATGTACCTTGGCACCATCGTGGTTTCATTTATACTATTTATAGTTTCCCAACTTTCAGTGGTCGCATTAAACATTGTTGTTACGTTTCTTAAAAATTGAGTTGAAGAGCCGTAACCTAAACCCCCGTGTACCAAATAACTATCGTTTAAAGGAACAATCGAGAACAAGCTATTTGGCTCCACTTGAAAATCAGTAGATGTTACGGTATTCCAATTATCTATGGCCTTCTCAACGGAAAAATCCATCGACAGATCAAATACATAATGATCTGACGTGGTTTTTTGATTTGATGTTCCTCCAAAGCAGTAAAGTCGTTGAGTTACTGCTGCACAACCTTTGGGGGGAGTGAATTATTAAGTATTTATGTGATTTCACAATAGTTATCACTCACCTCCATTATATCTGTGAGTAGGAATAGCCGCTTTGACAAGGTTTAAACTGGCTGCTATCACTAACAAAGACGGTATACGCATTATATTTAATATTTTAAAAATAATGGGGTAAGGGGGAAAGAAGAAAGGAAAAAAAAAAGCTATTGCACACAAAGGAGTATAGATCCAAAAAAAAAAAAATGACTGTTTGTGCTACATGGGTTTTATTGAGTAAAGAATAGAATCAAATATAGGATGATTTGATAAAAAGAAATTAGACTAAGCAATTCGGTGAAAAATTTGGACTATGGTATATTGTGCATGTTTTTTTTGATGGATTAAAGATAGAAAGAGACGAGCTTATTAAGATTTTGTGTCGTTGCTTTATAAGAATCGTCCACAGCAGAAACGGATTTGAAGAACCATTTAAGTGTTTCTGTAGCATGATTTGATGTCGCAGAGTCTATAAAATTTTCAGAGTCGCTCGATATTGTTTCTGCAAGACTTGTAGTTGTTTTTGGGACTACATGTGAGTTAAGGTGGGTGTAATATTGATTATAAGGTGAGTCAATTTGCTGAATACAAGGCATCATATTTTAGCTTTAAGTAATTT